TTCAACAAATGATGTCGGGAAAACATGCAGAAAAATGAAAGTGGACTCTTACCTTAGAGCCTGAGCAAAAATTAAAATAGATTTAAAACCTATGGTACATCATTGCCCAGCATGCACAAGGCCCTGGGTTTGATCCCTAGCACTAACAAAGGCAGGGAAAGAGATCAAGGTCCTCAATGTAAGACCTAAAACTACTAAACTCCTAGAAGAAAACCTGGGGAAACCTTCAAGACATTGGGTTTGGCAATGGATACAACATTACAAGCACAAGCAACAAATGATACAAACTTCATCAAACTTAAAAAAACTCTGTGTGTCAAAGGAAACAACACACTGAAGAGCAACCCATAGAAAAGGAAAATATATGTGCAAATCATATATTTGATAAGAAGATAATATCTAGAATATATAAGGAGCTTCCACAATTCAACAACAGATAACCCAGTTTAGAAATGGGCAATGGGGGGCTGGGGATGTGGCTCAAGTGGTAGCGCGCTCGCCGGGCATGCGTGTGGCCCAGGTTCGATCCTCAGCACCACATACAAACAAAGATGTTGTGTCCGCCAAAAACTAAAAAATAAATATTAAAATTCTAAAAAAAAAAAAAAAAAAAGAAATGGGCAATGGGCTTGGATAGACATATCTCCAAATAAGATATGCAAGTGGCCAATAAGCACATTAAAAAATGCAAATCAAAACCAGAATGAGATATCACTTCATACCTGTCGGGATGGCCACCATCAAGAGATCAGAAAATTGTAAGTGTGGGCAAGGATTTGGAGAAGTTGGGACCCCGTGCACCATTGGTGGGAATGTGAAATAGTGCAGCCATCATGGAAAACATTATAGCGCTTCCTCAAAAAATTTAGGATAGAATTACCATATGATCCACCAATACCACATCTGGTTAGATACCCAAAAGAATTCAAAGCAGAGACTTGAGGCCCGTGTTCATCAAAGCATTATTTACAATGGTGGAAGCAGCCCAGCTGTCCATTTACAGATGAATGGACAAAGAAAAAAGATTGTTTTACACCCACAGAGGAATGTTCTACAGCCTTAAAAAGAAGGAAACCAGATATTGTGCTAATGAAATAAGTCAGTCACAAAAGAATAAATACTGGCTGCTTCCACTTATCAGAAGTATCTAAAATAGTTAGAATCATATATTGCCCAACAATGTGAATCTACTTAATACTACTGAACTGTATACTTAATAATGGTGAAGATGGTAAATTTACAGCTGTGTTTTTTCACAATGATAGTAAAAAGGAATGTACTGTTGATAAATGTGACGTTGATGAATCTCAAGGGCTAAGTGAAAGAAGTGAGGCTCAACTCAACAGCTACATACCATGAATGTGACATTCTGGAAAACGGAAAACTGTAGAGACAGAAAATGGATCAATGTTATCAGGACCTGGGACAGCAGAAGAGACTCATTATTCTAACAAGTTAGTTGGTTTTTGAAAAAATGTTTTTGTTTGTTCGTTGGAGACAGGGTCTCTAAGTTGCTGAAGCTGGCCTTCAACTTAGGATCCTCAGGCCTCAGACTCCCGAATAGTTGGGGCTACTCATGTATGCCATTGTGCCCAGCTATAGGACAGGCTGATGGTAAAGGGACATGAGGGAACATTTTGAAGTGGTAAAATTGTTCTATATCTTGATCATAGTTGTGATTATATGACTGCATGTGTTTGTTAAAACTCATAAAACTATATACTAAAAATATCTACACCTTGATGAAAAAGAAAAGCCATAGGGCTGGGGATGTGGCTCAAGTGGTAGCACGCTCACCTAGCATGCATGAGGCACTGGGTTAGATTCTCAGTACCACATAAAAACAAAATAAAAATATTGAGTTCACCTAAAACTATATATATATATATAAAGAAAGCCATACACAAAAATTTTATACTGTATTTAAACTATCCCTCAATAAACTTGACTGAAAAGAAACAAGGGCCAGAGTGACACCACGTCAGGATCTGAATAATCCGTGTATAGTGTGTTCTTTTCTACATCTTTCATTGTGATTGGAATGTTTCCATCTGAAAATATGAAAAACAGAAATGTTTTTTTAGAAAAAGCCAGCCATCTTATTTGAGCTGCAATTCAGTCCGATAATAGGATGCAAGTAAAATTATATGCACAACAAAGAATTCTTATTTCAATCCTGTCAGTGGAGGCCCACAACTGTGTGTATGAGAAAAGGTCAAATGTAAATTTGAGACCTTTCAAAAATGTGAATTCTGTGCAAATAGCCCTACTGCCCCCATAATGTTTCAGAAAACACTTGAACAAGAATGGTCCCTGGTTAATGAGGCACCCAAGAAGTGAGAGAGATAGAGTTGTCAAGAGTTATTTTCTTCTGGGCGTTCCAGGAAATCAACTAGATACTTTAGTCAAGTGGTAGGGCCAATCCTTTAAGAGCACACAGCCTTGATATCCCTGTAGCTCTAAACAATCCCTTTACAAAGCTTGGTGATTCTGCCTTTCTATTTGTAACCTATTTGGGTATGATAAATAAAGAAAGGTGGCCACATATAGTGGTATAGTGGTGCACACCTGTAATCCTAGCTACTCAGGAGGCTGAGGCAGGAGGATTACAAGTTAGAGGCCAGCCTGGGCAAATCAGTGAGAACCTATCTCAAAATCAAAGTTGCAAAGGGTTGGGGATGTAGCTCAATGCCCTAGTTTCAATACCCAGTACCAGAAAAAAAAAAATCATGTCTATAACAACAATAATAACAACAATCATTTCACCTCAAGCCACACCAAAGAGCAAAATAGTAGTTGACACTGCCTCGTGAAGTCGGTCTTAGCTTTTTTTCTGTCTAGCTACTCTTCCAGTCTGACTTTTCAAGCTTCTCTGATGTGGCAGTTTCTAAGTGTAGAACTCCAAAGAGCTGTATTGTCTTGATTCCTCCCAATGTTGGCACAGACTCAAGGAATTGTGAATGCCAAAAATCCTAGAGTAACAGATGGACATTTTAAATCACAAACATTTGTGCACAACACAAATGCTGGGGCTTTGCGCAAAAAATGGAACTAAGTCTTAGCCAGTCCTTATGTCCTTCCATACTAAGGAGGGAACTTAAGAAAAGCCAGGGCAAAGGAGGGGAGGAAAAAAATGCTTTCATCTGAAAGATGAGAAGAGCCTGGCAGAAATGGGTCATTTGTTACGTGAAAAGTTACAATGTTCCTAAAATTTGCAAAATGTATCTGAGTTTATACAATTTTCATTTGACTTTGTAAGAAGTTGACTGTCATAAAATGACTTTTGGGCCATCTACTAAGAGTTTGAAGTTGGACAAAAGAGGGTAGTGGGATTATTTCCCAACTCTTGTCATAGCATGGTTGGAATCGTGGGGAGGTAGACTTGAAGAGGACCTTAAAAATCACATAATCAGAGCTGGGGTTGTGGCTCAGTGGCAGAGTGCTTGCCTAGTATGTGTGAGGGATCAGGTTTGATTCTCAGCACCATGTTTCAATAAATAAAATAAAGGTCCATTGACAACTTTAAAACAATTTTTTTTAAATCACATAATCTTAAGAACAAAAAATGGTCGGGCTGCAGGGCACTTTATGGAAACATTAATCCAGCCCAAATGAAGCCTAATTTAATTTTAGGCTTAAAATTTCAGAAAAGAATATAAGACAAAGTGATTCATAGACATTAAAGAATTGAAAAGAGGGCTGGGGATGTGGCTCAAGCGGTAATGCGCTCCCCTCGCATGGGCGGGGCACTGGATTGGATCCTCAGCACCACATAAAAACAAAATAAAGATGTTGTGTCCACCAAAAACTGAAAAATAAATATTAAAAAATTCTCTCTCCTCTCTCTCTCTCTCTCTCTCTCTCTCCTCTTTCTATCTTTAAAAAAAAGAATTGAAAAGAAAGTAGATGGCTGGAAGTAAAGAGAAGGTTTCAAAAACAAAACAAACAAGTCCTTGATTTAGAAGTCATAAGATGAAAGTTTTGGAAAATATAGTGTTTTTTTAAAAAGAGATGTATTTCATCAATTATTAAAAGCAGTCCAGAATTTCACTCAGATGCTAATGCAATCCTTTGCAGAAAAAAATTGGAAATATCTGTAATATACGTTTGAGTGATCCAATTATATATTTATACACTTGTTTCTGGAAGCCATAGGAAGGTGTTGAACTTGTCACTTTGATTATTTCACTTTGTCATATAAATTTAATAAACTTGGTATACGTACTGTTTGGCATTCTTCTCAATGGGTAAAGGAGTTTCTTGAATAAATACCGTGATATGTTCAGCATTTTGACATCTATTTCTTAATTGTAAAGTGGCAAAGTATAGCTAACATTCCCGTGTTTGGATATCTCCTAAATAAGTCATTTTAGAATGGAGCAGCTTTCCTTAATCTTGAGTCTCCAGGTCATTTCATTTGATTTTCCCTTTAAAACTTACAAATTATTCTACTTTATTTCCTTCCAAGTTTATCATCTGTACAAAAGTTGCAACACGGAGACACAAGCTAGCTGGTGATCCTCTGAGATGCATCTAAAACCAAAAAGGGAAAACTGGTGCCCACAGAGTCTGGGATAGAGAGAATTCAAGGACGATTGAGCCCCATGCTCTTGGGAAAGACTCATAGTCACGTTAGGACAGCGGTTCCTAAATTTTTGTCACCCACAAGCTGCATCAGGCCATTTGTTAGAAATATTGATTCCTGGGCCCTACCCTGGCTCATTGACTTAGGATCCCGTGAGAGCGTAGCTGGGGCTCCGTATTCTCTTGAGCAAGCTCCGCAGACCCACCGAGAACCCTAATTGGGATTTACGCGCCCCTGAACTCCGCCCTCACTCAGCCCCGCCCCTCTACCAGGCCCCGCCCCGCCTATCTTGTCCAAGCCCCGCCCTCTCCTCGCCGGTTCGTGAGGCCTAGCAGGCCTCTTCCCGTGATCCCTCGCGCCTGGCTGTCGCGGTTGCTGGGCAACCGGCGCTGGCGGCTGGCGGCTCCGGGATCTGCACCACCATGGGGCCGCCGCCGGGCCTCGCGCCACTCCTGCTGGTCCTCCAGGGCTGCTGGGCCTCGATGAGCGCCCAGGACAGGGCCACCCCGGCGGTGACTACTGAGGACCTCAGCTCCACCGAGCCAGCCCCAGCCATTCTTGGACCCTCTCTGTCGCCTAGGACCCCGGGGGCCCCCAGAACCCCGGAGGCCTCCAGAACCCCGGAGTCCTCCGCCTCTGGCCCCAGGCCCACCCCGGTTACGGACGGTGGGTATCAAGTGCTAACTCCTGGGGTTCTACAGGGATCCAATCTGGAAGGGGTAGCCGGGTGAGAAGGTAATAATAGTGATAGCTGAGGCTGCTGTGTGCTGACATTGCCAAACGTTCCATAGGCTTGGATCCCCCAGCAATAACCCTAAGAGGTAATTCTTATTCCTGTCGCACAAATGGGGAAACTAAAGCTCAGAGAGCGTAAGTGGGACAGTGTCAAATCCTTGAAAGTATGAGCAGTGGCCCTGGACAACGTGAATGCTAATGACAATGACGAACGTGTCCCTGCAGCTGAAGTTGAAATTAAATAGAAAGTTTTAAGACAGTGGTGGAAATCAATGCTGAAGCTGCATTGAACTTTTCACTTGTATTAAGAACAGACGCCAACGTTGTAGCTTATTAAGTTTGACTAGGTGAAGGCCTTTGTCAGTTGATTCCAATTTAAAAAACTCAGGATTCCTCCTGCATTTAGTGGAGGTGGGAAGGTAAGGGATGAAGGCTTATGCCTACTTCTTAGGATTTACATTTAGAGATAACTAACATATCTCTTAAAGTGATCTTCTAATCCTGGAATTACAAATTTAGAGAGTATTTTTTATAATCTAATTTGATTCATTTCTTCAGGGGATGTCTGTGATCCCTTGAGATTGAGGGCAAAATTGGGGAATATGCATTTTTCTGGGGTGAGTGTTCATAGCAGTCGAAGAATCTCACAGGAGGTCATCTCAAAAAAAAAAATTTTTGTTTTTTTAATCCTTTGTCTGGATTGAGAGTATGCCCAGTAGGTATATATGTATTTTTGTCTCTCTCCTCTCTTTTTTAATATTGTAGTTGGACAAAATACCTTTATATTTTTATTTTTAAATATTTATTGATTTTTTTTAGGTGTAGATGGACACAACAGAATGCCTTTATTTTTATGTGGTGCTGAGGATGGAACCCAGGTCCCGTCCGTGCTAGGCCAGCACTCTACCGCTGAGCCACAATCCCAGCCCCTATAACTTTATTTTTATGTGGTGCTGAGGATCAAAGCCAGCGCCCTGCATGTGCTAGAGCACTCTACTGCTGAGCCACAACCCAGCCCCCTTTTGTCTCTTTTTGAGAGACTTTTAACTAAGGATGAGTATGCGTATATAAAAAAGTTCTTATTAGCCGACATCCTGAACTCTAGAACCTAATTTCAGTTACTGAACCATTATTTCGTGAAAGAGCCTCTTTTGTAAACTAGGAGTAGTCGGTAAGAGAAAGGACAAGGGCCCAGGCTCAATGGTAGAGCAGGTATTTAGTAGGCACGAGGCCCCGGGTCCAATCTCCAGGACCAACAAAACTCCTGGGGGTAAACAGGGATTCAATCTGGAAGGGGTAGCCAGGTAAGAAGGTAATAATAGTGATAGATTCCTTACTTCAATATATAAACAAAGCTCTGCTTTACATTTAACCTGTTGATCTAATAAATTGATAGGGAAGTTAAATCAATGACAAATTGGGACAGAATATAGCCAGGTATTCAGTTTCTGAAAATCTCTAGGGTTTGTGGACTAGACTTTCATTCACATAAGAACCTCATCAGTTATGTACTTTCTCCCCAAAATGAAACAATGCTTGGATCATTATGACTAGGACATATATTCAAAGTTTTTCTTCCAGTCTGGGTGATGAATTTGAACTTGTTTTGATCTTTCTAAAGGACCCTTTAGGCCCCTGACAGTAATAACTAACTGCTTCCCGTGTGGTAGGCACTATGTTATGCATTTCACCTGTGATATATCTTATTTAATCTCCCAATGTGTGGACACTGTTATCTTCATTATTCAGGTAGGTGAATTGCCTAATTTTAGGTTGCACAGCTGCTAAGATTAGAGCAGGGGGCTGGCTCTAGAACTAGATAGAGATTTGCAGAATGGCCGCAGGCTGTGCTGGTGGAAGAGTGATACTGTTCATCTTAGTACCCTGCTCTCCAAGCTAAGCATGCAGATGATAAGAGGCGTGGAAGAGCAGCTGAGTGCTACTTAGGTCTAGTGAGTGCTCAACAGATACTTGCTGGGTGATTAAGTGCACTTGCATCTTAGATGAAGACTTTTTTTTTTTTTAATTAAACACTATTGCTTTATCCTTCGCAGTCTTATAGCTACCTACAAGGGTTTTGCATTTTGAAAACAAATCAAGATTGTAATTTTAAACGCCAAAGGCAGGGAGCCTAGCTACTCTTATTATTTTTTACATTAGTGATTACTGGTTACATCATCATCTTACTCAGCACATAAAGGAGTCCCTATCTAGATATGAGCACATAAACTTAAGGCAGAAAACGTTTGTAAGCATTGTGTATTTATTTGCTGACAAAACCTTTCCCTTATATACTTTTTTTCCAGTGTATACCTTTTTGGGGGCTACATTTTTTTAAAACTCATTTTTACCATGGAATAATTCATATATACAAATAAGAAGGATGCATGGACTCTCTACCAACATTTGCTTGATACCCTTTTTTTTAAAAAAATTTTTTTTTAATATTTATTTTTTAGTTATCGGCGGACACAACATCTTTGTTTTGTATGTGGTGCTGAGGATCGAACCCGGGCCGCACGCATGCCAGGCGAGCGCGCTACTGCTTGAGCCACATCCCCAGCCCTGCTTGATACCCTTTGTTTGCTTATTATTTTTAGGGTTGAGATCCTTTTCTGAAAAAGAAGCAAAACATTATAAGTAAATTCTTGATTTTATTCTTCTTTTTTGTGGTACTGGGGATTGAACCCAGGGGTGCTTAACCACTGAGTTACATTCACAGCCCTTATTTTTAATTAATATTTATTTTTTAGCTTTAGGTGGACACAGTATCTTTATTTTATCTTTATGTGATGCTGAGGATCGAACCCAGTGCCTCACACATGCCAGGTGAACACGCTACTACTTGAGCCATATCCCCAGCCCCCACAGCCCTTTTTATATTTTAATTTTTAAAATATTTTTAGTCATTGATGGCCAATACCTTTATTTATTTATTTTTATGTGGTGCTGAGAATTGAACTCAGTGCCTCATGAGTGCTAGGCAAGCACTCTACCACTGAACCACAACCCCAGCCCTTATATTTTATTCTGAGGCAGAGCTTTGTTAAATTACTGAGGCTGGCTTTGAATTCATGAACCTCCTGCCTCAGCCTTCTGAGCCACTGGGATTACGGTGATTACACCCAGCGATTTTATTCCTTTTATTTCTTCCTTCCCAGCAATAATCTCTACCAAAAATTCCGTGTTTTTATTCTCATGCTCTATTTCTTTGAAGAGGATTTTTCCCAGTTCAAAAGAGAATGAATTAGTAGAGAAGTTAAATTGTGATAAACTGGGACAGAATATAACTGAGTATTCAGTGCCCAAAATTCTCAGGATTTTTGGATTTTTTTTCTGATCCTCATAAATACTCAATCTGTTAAAATTGGATCTAAAAATGTAGTGATTACAAATGCAGATAATCATGAATTAATTTAAAATTGCTGAATGGGGAGATTCCTAACCTCCCCCATTTATTGTCTCAATTCCTAACACTCATCTAAGTACCTGAGCCCATCCAACTTTTGGACAAGAGCCTGTAAACATGCGTTTAGCTTCAAAGCTGCAGGTTACATATGAGGAGAGGGACAAGATTGCACCTCCTTTTCCTAGAGGCCTTAAGTAGGCCCTTTCTCTGAATCATCATCTCTAGGAAAGGGCTTGAGAATCTTCGACTGAATCAGTGGGCCTTTTGGTCAGTTAAAGAACTTAGGTGTGCTGTCCTTAAACCTGTGTCAATTATCAACATCACCTGAAAAATTTTGAAAACTGCAGGTGTCTGGGTTTCACGTTCAATTTGCCAAATCAGAGTCCTTATAGCTAGAGCACAAACAGGACTTTCCAAGCTAGTCAAAAGATCAGCCATTTTGGGGAAATCTCTGATGTGGCATCAAACTGACTAATTTCTTTTTTCTTTTTTTTTTTTTTAAAGAGAGAGAGAGAGAGAGAGAGAATTTTAATATTTATTTTATTTTTTTAGTTATCGGCGGACACAACATCTTTGTTGGTATGTGGTGCTGAGGATCGAACCCGGGCCGCACGCATGCCAGGCGAGCGCGCTACTGCTTGAGCCACATCCCCAGCCCAAACTGACTAATTTCTACTTCACAAATTCCCCCCGAAGTGCAATAGGAAGAACAAAATGGAACTTTTGTATGTTACTAATTTATGGCACATTGTGGTGGCAGGGGGCAGTCATTGCCTGCTGATTGTGATGCTCTGCATCCTACCCCTCCTTTTTTCTGTAGTTGCAGCTCTGTGTGTCTGTGACTTGTCCCCAGCACAGTGTGATGTCAACTGCTGTTGTGATCCTGATTGCAGCTCCATGGATTTCAGTGTCTTTTCTGCCTGCTCAGTTCCAGTTGTCATGTAAGTAGATGACACCTCGTTTGGATAAAATTTGAGCAGGATAATAAAATGTGGGGAAAGAAAGTGAAAACTCACCCAGGCCAAAAACCCCAAACCTGATTTCCTGTGTTTTGCATCGTACAGAAGGGAGACTGTGCAAAGCAGTATTTCCCTCATTTGCATCCTGCCCGGTGATAATGCAGGCCAAAGAGAGCTCACGTTGCTTCTGGGGAGAGTACAGTGCAATCTCCCAGTGTTCAGAGATGGAGTCACATTTCAGTTTCAGTTGTGAACAGATATCACGTCCCATTTCCCTAACAGTGAATGTCTCATGCATCTCATGCATACCTACGTGAAGAATGCAGTTTAATTTTACCTCTTTTGTTGTAGACATAGTACTTGCAACAAAAAGTTAGAAAGATAATCAGCAGTGCTTTGTTTATACTTTTCTGATATATAAATCTTCCAGGAATTCTCACAGTTCACATTGTATAGAACAATGGGAAATGACATTCCCAGCAGATTACAAGTGAAGAAATCATCTAAAGGATTTAATCTCATATTTCAGAGCTTTTGGAAAAAAAATAGCATTTCAAAAAAGGTACATTTATTCAAGATGGAACCAATTTACTATTTAGAGGGAGCTAATTTAAGTTTAGCCTTATAGCACCTTGTAACAATTGATACATGATAGTTTGAATTCTTTTTGGAAATACAATGGATTTTTTCCCATGAGAAACCATTTTATCAATCCAGTGGGATATCAAATAGATTTCTAATATTGTTTAAAAAAAGACTGGAGAATGGGTGTTGTAGTCTGATTACTTTTCTCTATACCTGGTTGTCCTTGTTAAAAGTCATCATCTAAGGAGGCTGGGTTGCGGTTCAATGGTAGAACACTTACCTAGCATGCGTGAGGCACTGGGTTTGATCCCCAGCATAAAAATAAAAACAAAATAAAATAAAGGTATTGTGTCCATCTACAAAAAAAATAAAAATAAATAATTTTTTTTTAAAAAAAAGTTATCTGCTCTCCTGCTTTGTAAGTATAGGAAAGTTGATACCATTTTCTCAAATGAAATTTTTTATTAGCTAATATGGCAATTTTAGATGTAGACTATAGTATTTAGGACAGGGGTCAGCAATTTTTTTTTCTGTAAAGGACCAGATAATAAATACTTTAGTCTTCCCAAGTCTCTATTGCATCTTCTATATTTTACCTTTGTTGCACAAAAGCAGTCAAAGATAAGTCATTGGATGGGCATGACTGTCTTAGTAAAATTGATAACAAATGGTGTGTTTTGTAGAACCCTATCATAGAAGTCAAGACTAAATCTCTAATACCCTTGAGAAAGGATCTCATTTTTTTTTATGTTTTGTGATTTTCTCCTAAATATAAATAGCCAAATCAAAAGTCCTCTTCCTAATTAACTGAGCATTCTCGTTATATAGGTCTCAATTCAAAAAGTTTACTTACATTTACTAAACTATCAACAATTCTTATGTGTCATCTAATAACTCGTAAATTTATTCATAAGCTGATTGGATGAATGTTTCATGAGCACAAGAAGAATATATATATTTTTAAATCTTTTTTTTTTTTAATCTAAGTCCTGCTTCTGCCACATAACCAGACCTCATTGAAAAAGAGTTGGCTGGGGTGCAACTCACTGGTAGGATACTTGATACTTGACTTGCCTGCATGCACGAGGCCCAGGTTTGATTAAAAAAAAAAGTGGACTGGATGAATGGATTTCTCCCTGCCACCCCTAAATGTATCCTGGAGGACCCCTGCCACTGCCTGGCCTTCCCTGTGCACTAAGCAGCCTTTGATTCCTTATCATTGGGGATTGAACCCAGGGGCTCTTTACAACTGAGCTACACTCCCAGCCCTTTTTTCTTTTGAGACAGGGTCTCGCTAAGTTGCCTTGAACATGGAATGCTCCTGCCTTAGCCTCCTAACTCTCTGGGATTATAGGCGTGCACCAGTGCTCTTGGCTTCACCATGCCTTTCTGGAGCACTCCTGTGTGCCAGCACCAGGGATATAAAGATAAGTTCAGCCTTATCCTGCCTCTGAGAACATCCCAGTGAGGGAGAGAGACAAATGAGTACATGCAGTTTCTGCTCCTGAATCCTGGGAGAACTCAGAGGACTGGCAGCTCAGACACTAGGCTGAGAGGGCTTTCTACAAAGATGTTGGAAGCTGAGCTGGGTCCCAAAGAACAAGTTAAGTTGGCCAGCATGAGTCTGGGGAAGGACATTCCAGGCCCAGGGAACTGCCCGGACAGAGTCCTGGGGTGGAGGAGGATAGCCTGTGCAGTTATCTGCAGGCAGCTCACGTGGCTTGGGAGGGATGTGGCACAGAAGGTGTGGAGAAGAGCTTGGGACTCAGTCCCGAGGAGCCTGTGTGTGTGCTGAAGGGTTCTGATGTCCTGAAGTCCCACCTCATGTCATTCAGCAACAGTGTGCAAAGTGGGTCACTGAGGCCAAGCCTGGTGGTAGAGAACTAAGTAAGATACCACTGCGGATGCAGGCTCATGGCTCCCGCCCTACCTGGAGGCTGGGATAGTGGGACTAGGTGGAGGTATGAGATGTGAACTGAGATACTGCCCAGCTGGAGGAGTCAGGGGCATCATTCCTTTGAGTCCTCAGGCACCAGAGCCCTGAGTTTGCCCATTCCTACTGACTTCCCTTGGGAAACTCCTGCCTCATTCATTGCTAAAGACACTTCAGACGCTCTCATTACCTATCGACCCCTTAGCCTGGACTCATATTCTTCCCCACCTTCTTCCAGGTCCAGTTTATGGCTATTCTGCATCTCCAACCCTCTGCTCCAGCCAGCCATGCTACACCAGGTTCCCAAAGACCATCAGTTCCCTACTTGGTGAATGCTGTAGCGCTTCAATTAGCTTCCCATTCCCTCTGCCTGTCTGATTCCTAAAACAGTCCTTTAAGCCCTGTAAAAAGTAAATGATAGTTGGGTGCGTTGGCGCATGCCTGTAATCCCAGGAGCTCTGGAGGCTGAAGAAGGAAGATTGCGAGTTCAAAGCCAGCCTCAGCAAAAGCAAGGTGCTAAGCAACTCAGTGAGAACCTGTTTCTAAAGAAAATACAAAATAGGGCTGGAGATGTGGCTTAGTGGTTGAGTGTCCCTGAGTTCAATCCCTGTACCATAATTTCTAAGCCTTAAACCTTTCAAAAAAAAAAAAAAGTGAATGATAATATTCAATCTTGAGAGGGGCACAGGAAAGTAAGCATGCTTGTGACAGTGTTGATGAAGATGGATGTTTTACTTCTCTGGAGGGCAACCTGGCAATGCCACAGAAGCCTTGAATAATGAATCCTCCTTTTGACCTGGCAGTTCTACTCCCAGGAACATGGCCGAAGAAAATAACTGGAAACATTATGAAGATGTTTGTATAAGGATGTCATTATAGCTTCATATTGTAATTGGGGAAAATTAGATACAACCTAAACCAACTGTAGAGGATTGTTTATAATTTTTTTTTTTGGGGGGGGGCAACTAGGGGTTGAACTCAGAGGCACTCAACCACTGAGCCACATCCCCAGCTTTTTGTATGTTTTATTTAGAGACAGGGTCTTGCTGAGTTGCTTAGGGCCTTGCTAAGTTGGGATTGACAGAAGACTTGACTGTACCATAATTTCTAAGCCTTAAACCTTTCAGATGATTCCTTTGAAGATAGCTTTACTCTGAAGACAAGTAATTTTGGATCCAATCTGGGTACTTAAAAAGAATTTGAAGTTCTACAAAATTTAATATAATTTATACTTTCAGAATTTGCAAGGTTTGTTAACATTAAAATTATACCCTGATCTGTTATCCATACTTGACAAGATTTCCTTAAAGGTTGTTATACCGACTTAATTTTTCCACTAGAGGAAAGTTTCAAATTCAATTCTAACATCATGGTTTTATAAATGTCTTCCAGAACCCCAAACGCTTCTTCATCTTCTTGAAATGTATTTGTATATATTTTGGTTTTGTTCCCTTGTGACTGAAAATATAGGTGGATGTACTGCAATTTGTTATCTGAATTGACTGCTGACCAGTGACTGTTACTTTCTCTGCCAAAATGAAAATTATTTGTTTGTTATGGTACTGCAGATTGAACCCAGGGGCACTCTACCATTGAGTCACATCTCCAGCTCCTTTTATGTTTTGAGACAGGGTCTCACTAAGTTGCTTAGGGCCTCGCTAAATGTTTTAAAATATTGCTGAAGCTGATTTTGAACTTGCAATCCTTCTGCCTCAGCTTCCCGAGCCTCTGGGATTATAAGCATGTGCCACCTACTCAGTCCCAGCTTTTTTTAAATTTTGAGACAGGAGCTCACTAAATTACTGAAGCTGGCCTTAAACTTGAAGTCCTCTTGCCTCAGCCTCCTGAGTAGCTGGAATTACAGGTGTGAGCCACCCCAACCAGCAAAAATCTGATGGCTTTAAAACATCTTCCCAAGATCATATATTTATGCCTTAAATTTTATATATTATTTTTTTTAATTTTCAGGGGTGATAGCCAGTTTTGTACTCAAAAAGCAGCCATCTATTCATTGAATTTTAAAGCAAACCCACCTGAAAGGGTATTTAAACTCATTGACCAGATCAATCCATCTATTTTCTGCATTCGCATTACAAACTGTAAGTATTTGACGTTGATATATTTTGTGAAACTATAAAGTTTTTATTTTAAAGTTATTTTAAGGAAAAATATCTCATTCAGTTAGATTTGATGTGATCATTCTGTTTTGGCCATGTGTATAAAGTATATTTTCTGAGGCCATTTTACAAGTAGTGGAAAGTAATTTTATAGACCTGTGACCTGAACATTTTCTTTGAAAGTGATCATGCTTATATACCTGTCTTTTCCATTCTCACTCTTGATTTCAAGGTGTTTATGTTATGTAGACAGGCGTGGGAGTCCAGATTTATATAACACACACGTGACTTTTTCAGCGTATTTCCTCCTGGCATAATGGTTGAAAATCAGGTTCAGTTTTGAACATTACCTGTGGTTTCTATTTCCTCTTTCTTATTTTTGTTAAGTACATTTGCATGAAAACAGGATCTTTATTTTTATTTGAGTATTTAGTTCAAGTAAGTGTTTCTATCCAAAGTACACGTGAGTGTGAATGTTATCAAAGTGTCACAGTTCAGAGACATATTTATGGTTTTATCAGTTAAATCTCCTCATCATCTTTTTTCCTGAAAAATTTTTTTAGTTGTAGATGGACAGCATGCCTTTATTTTATTGGTTTATTTTTATGTGGTGCTGAGAATAGAACCCAGTGCCTCACATGTGCAAGGCAAGTGCTCTACCACTGAGCTACACCCCGAACCCTTCTTCATCTTCTTGAAATGTATTTGTATATATTTTGGTTTTGTTCCCTTGTGACTGAAAACATAGGTGGAGGTACTGCAATTTGTTATCTGAATTGACTGCTGACCAGTGACTGTCACTTTCTCTGCCAAAACATGAGCCCAATAAATATGCCATCCCCTCTTTCCCTTTTGTTCTGTACACTGCATATTTTCCCCCAGGCTCTCAGCAGTCCCTGGGCTGAAAGTGGGGAGAAAGTGATGAATATTTTTGGCTTCTGTTGTGCTGTTCACCTGTGTGCATACAAAACCATTACTACTACTTCTTCTTTTTTAAAACAGTAGTTTGTCAATGAACCTTTATTTTATTTATTTATATGTAGTTCTGGGAATCAAACCCAGGGCCTCACACATGCCAGGCGAGCACAATACCACTGATCCACAACTCCAGCCCGGGACCCTGCTTTTTTAACAAGCCTCTGGGAATTCTGGAGGAAGTGAATATGTAACAAGACACTGTGTCTTTTTCACATCAGCCTTAATGTTTCTAAAATCTACTTCCAAAATACTGAAGATGTCATATATACACATAATTTATGCTGATTTAAAACACTTTTTCTAAACAGATAAACCTGCATTATCCTTTATTAATCCAGAAGTGCCTGATGAAAACAATTTTGACAGATTGATGAAAACAACAACTGGTTTTACATTGAATGCAGAATCAGATGTTTCTTTTTCAACCAAATTGGATGCTCCAAGTACTACTAAATATGAGGTGAGCCAAGAACTTGACTGAGCCTGCTCACTGTGTCACAGATACCCTGGCCTTATAAGTTGATTTTTAATGTCACCAGCAAAACTGACTTTCTGGAACACAGAAGAATTAATATAGACTGGAAAAAAAATGAATGTTTATGCCTCTAAGTCAAAGATCATGAAAATTAAAATTGGATGTTTAGATTCTGAATATGGTAGTTAAGGTTGTTGATTCTGTGATAAGCTTGTGTTTTGTCTCTGCAGAATTTGTTTTTCTCAACCTTAAAAGAGGCAGCAAAATGCTTGAGGCTTGCTGCTGGGGACATGAGTGGATTGGTTGGTGCCTGGTCCTCTTCTCAAAATTGTATTTATTTTATTTGTAGATTTTAGGAGGTTGTGTGCTATTTTATAGTAAACCTTTAAAATGTGATATTTATTAACATTGAAAAAACTTTTTCAGAAGCATCTTTTTGAAAGGAAAGTATAAGATTAATATGTACTGGTTCTGAAAGTTAGAAATATAGAGGTACCTAAGTAAAAACCAAAATGCCCTTTTGTCTCTGTTAAAATTCACACTGCTGGGATTGGGGGGGTGCAGCTCAGGGGTATAGCATGTGCTTAGTATGTGTCAGGCCTTGGGAGTGGAGAACAATTCATGCTGAAAATCACTGTGAAAACATTGGTGTGTATTCTTCCTAATTTTTAAATCCATCTAAAAAACATACATAATATTATATAGAAGTGAGATTTATAGTTACCTATATTGTTCTAGAAAATTCTTTTTTTTTTTAGTAACAAGTCTTTTTTGGTACTAGGGTCACTTTTCTGGTACCCAGGGTCACTCGGCCACTGATTCACATCCCCAGCCCTCTTTTGTATTTTATTTAGAGTCAGGGTCTCACTGAGTTGCTCAGTACCTCACTGCTGCTGAGGCTGGCCTTCAACTCGGGATCCTCCTGCCTCAGAGTTGTTGGGATTACAGTAGTGCGCCACCAGCTGGGCCGTGCAGAACTTTCTAGGTAACAGCCTGGGAGGAATGCAGTATTGTCTCATTTATCTGTGTACAACCTGGGCATAGGAAAGTAACTTGTGAGTTAGTGTTAGGGCAACATTTACAAAGGATTCCTGTGTCTATATTTGAGCTATTCCATTCTTTTGTGGAGTTGGGATTGAACCCTTGGACTCACACATGCTAGGCAAGTGGCAAGTGCTGTACCACTGAGCCACATCCACAGCCCAAGCCATTCCACTCTTAACAGACATTTGTTTCCAATCTTTGCTATTATCATCCACAATGAACATTCCTGGGTGTATGTGTGTGTTTGATTAAATTCTTAGGAGATATTTCTATAAATGACTTAGGATCAAAATAAATGGAAATTTTAAATATTGATGCACAGGTATATCATTCAAAAAGATTACAATAGTTCCTGGCACCAAGGTATTTGGGTAAATTTTAAATTTAAGACAATTGTCTGTATGCTCAGTAGCTGTAGATTTGAATTTTGAATGTTGGGGAAGAATTTCATGGGGCATTTGGTTTGGGGAAAGAAGGCATTTCTTCATAAAATTGATTTATGAAAAATTTTTATATGACTTAATGTATACTGCCACTGCTGTTTAAGTAATTAATGGTAGTGGAACATGATTCTCACCCCTGTGCCCAGCCGCCTAACTTCTGCCTGCAGAGGCAAACACTATCAGCTCCTGGGTCCTTCCAGAGGGATTCCAAATTCAGAAGCCAAGCACAGTGACACGCATGCCCAGAAGCACACATCCTTTAAAAGAGGGCGAGACAGCTAGATGTCAGTTCCCTGTGGGCTGGCCACAGTGTCTCTGATGCCTGCGATGCCGATGGCACCTAGCAGGTGCCCTCTGGGTGCTGAAGGAGCGCCTTGGGCGATCTTGGTTGTGTGTTTACAGTATGGGGCTCAGCTGCAGACTTCAAATGACTCTTCAGCTCCATTTTTGAGATTGCCTTCACCACTGATGTCATCCCTGTGCGCTGATGATAACCCTGCAGGTAAGAGGGTGGCCCTTGTTCTCTCTCTGCAGAGACTTTACAGTTATTAGTTTACATTTCTGGTAGTAATACACAGCAGCCTTTGTACCTGCAACAGGAGTGGGCTGAAGAGGCCTGAGAGCACCTTGGCAAGGGCGGTTGATTTCCTGCCTTGGGGGCCTTTTCTACTCCACACGGTTGCTGCCTGGTTCCTTGTCTGATGAGATGAGCTCCCACCACCCGCAAGCAGCCCACTCACTTGTCAGACACTTCCAGGTAGGCTTTGGAAAGTTCCAGAGCTTGTCAAAAGCTAACATTTATTAACACTCACTGTAGCGATTGCATGTGTTTTCCCATTTAATCTTCATTGATCCCTTGGGGTCAGGTTAATATCTCCAATTTTTATTTTTAAAATTTCTTTTTCATTTTTTAAAAAGAGCATTCTCTATTTTTTCCCTATTCTTTCTCCCTCTTTTATTGGTGCATTCTAATTATTCATAATAATAGACCTTGATACATATTCATATATGCACATGATATGATGTAACAATATAATTCTATCTCTATATTACATCCAATTTTTTTGACGAGGAAGCAGAGAGGCAGAGGGTTACTTGCTTGGGCCTTCTCAGGCGGTGGTGGAGAGGGGCTGGCCTGCAGCCGAGCCCGCTTACTTCCCAGTGAGTCCTGCTTCTCCCTTCAGGAGCGCGAGAGACCCGCTGACTGGCCCCCAGGTAGAGGAGGGTGGCAGCCACGGTGCTCTGAGGCTTCAGCTAGCCTCTCTGTGGAGCCATCTAAGCAATGGATGACAGGGAAATGCATCCTATTGAGAAGATGGGACACACTAGAACAGTGTCAACTGAAACCAGACACCATTTTCACCTATCGGTTTGACAAGGCTCAAAAAATTTGAAGACATGGGGAATTTAGCACTCACCTACACAGCTTGTGACACTATGAACTGGTACTGCCCCCCCAGAAGGTCAATTTAATTTATATATCAAAATTATGAAGAAATGTTTGGTCCTCCACATAGCTGTTAACCCCCAGGAGTTGATCCTGCAGAAATGCTGGCCCACATGCAAAATAATAGATCGTAGTGTTGTTGGTGATGGCAAAAGCAGAGACAGTTTAAGTGTCCTGTAGTAGGGAGCTGAGGGAATAATTATGCCACCTGTGTATCAGGATGCTAATTATAAAAGGAGGAAGAAACTCCTCCTGTACGGAGATTGCCTTCACCACTGATGTCATCCCTGTGCGCTGATGATAACCCTGCAGGTAAGAGAGAGCCTGACCTCCAAGATATAGTCATCATCTAGTGGAAAAAACAAGGGGAAGGATGGTATATCCATTGTGTTATTTGTTTCCAAAAGGGGAAAAATGATTTTTAAAAATGTTTGTAACTACATATTTTTGTTTGTTTGTTTGCATACACCATTTCCAGGAAGAAATATTGGAAACTTCATCCTGGTTGCCTCTAGAGAAAAAGAATGGTGGGAAGACAGGAGTTGGAGAAAGACTACTCAGTCTTTTTTTGTGCCTTTTGAATTTCATGCATGCCTTACCTAGTTGAAAACTAATTTTTAAGCACAATTTTAGACATAGTGTATATCCGTGTTGTAACTTATTTTTGCAGTTTTACCTAGATTATAGTTTTCTTCAGTTGGAAATTTTCTTCTCTTTTTTTTCCCCCATGGGAATGTTATGACATCCAGCATTTCTGGTGAACCAGGCTGTTACATGCACAAGAAGGATGGATTTAGAACAGTGTGAAGAAATTGAAGCCCTTAGCATGGCTCGTTACAGCAGCCCTACAATTTTGAGGGTAAGAATTATTTTGATGTGGAACTAACTTATTAGTTATGTTTTCTGTTCTTTGTACCCTTTTAAAATATGAAAAGTATGGAATAATATCCATACATGATTCACACTGAAGTTTAAATTTGTCTTCTCCAGTACTCTGGTATAGATGATTATTGAAATAATCCTTTAAATAATTTTTTATTTTTATATAGTTAGCTCATATTTTGATTTCATTCATTTTGATGATAACCAATGAAATCTTTTCTGTGACAGAAATACTCATATTAGCATCAAAAGCGTTCTCTTTCTCATAAACAGACTGGAAGAAGAGAGAATTCACTTTCTGGATGGCAGATGAAATAGGCAGGAGAGGACAGGAAGTGGGATTGTTGGAGCAGGGAGGAACGGTCACAAGGCCAGGGCCCCCTTCTCTCTGGTGGCAGTGACTGAACTGGAACTGAATACAGGAGCCAGATGGGGGAGGTTTGTGAGAGGAGAGACATTCTTCAATGACAAAAACCGAGATGATTTTTTTCCAAGGGCCCCCTCCTAATTTCCTTTTTTTGTGGGGAAAGCAGAGGGAGGGCGGTCCATGGCCCCATGAATCATCTGGGCTGTAGACTCAAGTTAAGTTTACCCCTTCCTTTCCCTTTTTAAATTTGATTTTATATTTTTGATACTGAGGATTGAACCCAGAAGTACTTTACCACTGAGCCACATCCCCAGTCCTTTTTATTTTTTGTTTTGAGACAGAGCCTCACTAAGTTGCTAAGGCTGGCCTTGAACTTGTGATCCTCCTGCCTCAGCCTCCTGAGATGCTGGGATCACAGGTGTGTGCCAGTGACAGGGTTAACCTTTCTTCTGCCTTCCTCTTTCTCCCCCTCTCTCGTAAGCCAGCCCTGCATGTCCCTGAGTTCTTCCAGTTAACTTCTCAGAGTTGTTGGCAGTAGTCCCTGAGTGGCCAGGTACTGTCTGTCTCAGCACAGGCCTCCCAAACATCCCTCTCCCCAAAGCTCTCAGTGGCCTAAAAGGTTGTCTGGTGATGAGGTTGGGAGTGAGGATGACAGGAAATGGAGGAAGGTGGAGCCCTTCAGCAGGAGAGCTGCAGCCATGCTTGGGGGTAGGAGCTGACACCAGGGGGCTGGGGCTTGCTGCAGGAAGACTGGGAGGCTGAGGAAATCTCCTGGGCGAGCCGTGTCTCCTTGCAGTGAGAACCTGTGCAGCGAGTAAGCAGGAGGGCAGGGCTGTGCCTGCCTTCCCCAGTGTTATGGCCACATGGAAAGATGCAGGAATGATACGGAGGCCTGGAGGCTCCCTGATGCAGTCATGAGCTGGCCTGTCATGTTTCAGCCAGAGATGATCACAGAAAGTGTGATCACTGTGGTGTAGATACAGACATGCAGATGGGACAGCTTGATTCAAGAAATTCTGTTGTCCTCTGTAAAAGTCTTTAATAGGATGAACATGGCCTTTATTCAAGGTCTGAAAAAGCTATGAAACTGTATCTGTTGTACTTAATGAAATTTGTATGTTTTCTTTTTATCTAGGTGCCTAATTCAGGAAAAAAGGTAAGAGTTGTTTATTTATTTATTTTTTTAGTTGTAAATGGACACAGTATCTTTTATTTATTTATTTTTATGTGGTGCTGAGGATCCAACCCAGGACCTCTTGCATGTGAGGCAAGTGCTCTTCCACTGAGCTACAACCCGGCCCCTGTTTGTGTTTTTGCAGTGCTAGGGATGGAACCTAAGGCCTCATACCTGCTAGCAAGTGCTCGACCACTGAGCTCACCCAGCCTCTCACTTTTTCCCCTTTAGACAACAGAGCGGACTTGACTGACAGGGTGCTGTGGACTTCCGTCCTTTCAGGGTCTCCTGCTGTCATCTTGGTCTCTCATCAAGGAAGCTGCGAGCTCAGGGTGCCAGCTCCCAGTGTAGCAGCTGGAATACCTGGCTCCCAGTGTAGCACACACCTGGGTCAGACATACCTGTGAACACAGTCCCCAAGGAGGCCTGAGATGGTGGCTTGTCACAGCCTCCCAAAGCCTATGGAAGTGGCCAGTTCAAGAGTCACCTTGGTGGTTATTTTTTTGTCTGCCATGTACCTCTGCCTTCCTGGGTCAAGTGGACGATCAGGGTGGAGCCTGGCACTGTGTGTTGAGCAGCCTGTGTGTGCAAGGTGCGGGCGCAGCGTCTGCACACAGGTAGCACCTAGGATGCTGGTCCTGGCTGCAGTTGATCTGGTCAAGTCTTTGGACACAGACACGTTTGAAAGGAAATAGCTCTGGACTTGGCCTTTGGACTTCATACTATGTATGTGGGCCTGGAGGAGCTTGTTTTCCAGGTGCAGTCTCGGGCCTGCCAAATATGCAACACGAGTGAACCTGGAGCCCTGCGGCTTCCTGGGGGAGCATGGTGGGTGCCAGAAACTCAACCAACCCCCTTCCTCTTTGAATCTTCCAAAAAACCTAGTTTGAAAGTCATGTTGAGAACTCGCCCATTGCTCCAGCCACTGGAAAGTGCTCTGATTCTGCCATTCCAAACTCGAACAGTCTCTGCCTCTCGTGTGCTGAATCCTTCGTTCAGGGCAGCGCCCGTGTGTACGGGACGCTTGGTGGGTTGGGCTAAGTGATGACTGTCTGGCTGGGAGGGCGGTTCAGTTGCAGGGAGAGCCATCATGAGGAAGGTGTGTTTCTGAGAAGCACCGAGTGGGTTCCGGTGCGTTCTGAGTGTGAACAAGTCTGAAGTCCTTGGGTGCCTCCGCTGTCCCAGGAGGCAGGCCCTATTATTATCACTTTGCGGCAAACGCGTCACAGAATTAGCTTTCTGAAGGCCACAGAGCTGGGAAGGGGGAGAGCTAGGATGGGATTCCAGGCTGCCTGGTCCCAGAGACCTTGCGCTTTGCCAGGGACACTGATTTTGTGTCACCAGCTCCACACACTCCCTAAGTGTCCTACAGACAGATCGGGATTTCTGCCTCGGGTCAGAGTGACACCAAGACTTGTACTCTGAAGGGCAGTCATATAAACCAATAGCAAGGATTCATTTACATTAAAGGAAAAAAAAAGCATTCGGGGTGTGTCAGTGGATCAGGAACATAGATTTTGGAGCCAGTCTCCCCTTTAAGGGAAGCTGCTGTTATTCCCCAAATTCTTGCCACCATCTGCTGTCGTAGCCAGGAAAGGCTGAAGTTTGGTCCTGAGTTCTCATGTTAGTGTGTGCAGTTCTTTTTTTTTTTTTTTTTTTAGTTGTAGATGGACACAATACCCTTTTAAAAAATCTTTGTATTTTTTTTTGGTACCAGGGATTGAATTCAGGGGTGCTTAACCACTGAGCCACATCCCCAGCCCCTTTTATATTTTAATTTAGAGACCAGGATCTCCTTAAGTTGTTTAGGACCTCTCTAAGTTACTGAGGCTGGCTTTGAACTTGTGATCCTCCTGCCTCAGCCTCCTGAACAGCTGGGATTACAAGCGTGTATCATCATGCCCAGCAATGCCTTTATTTTATTTATTTATTTATTTTAATATTTATTTTTTAGTTATAGGTGGACACAGTATCTTTATTTTATTTTTATCTGGGGCTGAGGATTGAACCCATGTGCTAGGCAAGCACTCTGCCACTGAGCCCCAGCTCCTGCTGTAGTTCTTTACCTGTGGGGAATCTGGGGATAGCATATGACCAGTGGGACACCGAGATTAGACCAGGCCTTCTGGTTTGTCCTCAGGATTGTTCCACTGAGGTTTTGATGGGTGAGTGTAACTCCTGAGTTTTGAGCTGGGCCTTCACTTGTTGCCTGCTGGGTGCTCGCCCCAAATGGCCCTCCATCAGAGGCTGTTGTGTGGCTGGGCACGCGCTTCTTGGAGTCTAGTCTCTCCACTGAGCCAGGAGCCTGTATGTTCAGAGGAAGGAATCTAGGGTTGTCTTTTTGATGACTTAAACAAGAGCTAGTAAATTCTAACCCAGGGCACCCGACCTGGCTCTTCAATCCAGCAGTGCCCTTGTGAGGTGATTGGTTTTGTCTCTCTGCCACACTTGTCACACAACAGCTCACTTTTTTGAGTAAACTGTGGCATGTTTTTATATGAGAGGTTTTGCCCCAGGACAGTTGCAGATTTTCTTGGTCATGGGAGCAGATACATAAGGAGATCTGGTTTATCTAAAATGACAGCTTAAGTACTTACCAATTTAAAATTATGAATAGGTTGGCACATGATTGAGGGCAGAGTTCAGAGCAATTTGAACAACTGGATATATCAGGTTCTTTCCTAAATAGTGGTATCCAAGAATTGAAATGTAAAGCATGTGTCAGATTTGCAAAGAGCCCCAGCTGTCTTTAGAGGACTGCTTGCTCTTTGTCACTCTGCTAGTGATGGCCACAAATGACAAGTGTTCTTTAATAGCATCAGAGTCACCAGGGATTCTTGATGTTGTTTTAAAGGTTTTTCTGTCTGTTTTGTCTTGTCCATGATCCCACCATCTACCAGAGATCACCACTGTGTGTGTGTGTGTAAAGCTGTATATCATTTGAGTCAAGAGTGTGTTCAGGGCAATTGTGAGGTTTATGGATGTGTACCTGGGGGCTGTGTATAGAAAGTGCACGTGTGTGGATTCATCAGGAGGAGCTGGGTTTGGGAGATGCAGGCCTTTGTGTGCACTTGTGTCTGATGTTGTCATGTGTTGTGTATGTGACATCATTCACATACCATAAAACTTACCTGTCTGTGTGTATGCTGGGATCGAATCCAGACCCAGTGCTTGCTCACCACATGCTCTACCTCTGAACTAAAGCCCCAAACTTGCCATTTTGAAGTACAGTTCAGTGTGGTTTTTTTTTTTTAATTTTTTTTTTTTGGTTGTAGATGGACACAGTATCTTTATTTATTTTTATGTGGTGCTGAGGATCAAACTCAGTGCCTCACACATGCTAGGTAAGTGCTCTGCCACTGAGCCCCAGCCCAGCTCAGTGGTTTTTAGGATATTCACAAGGTCATGCCACCATTACCATTTTCCAATTCTAGAATATTTTCATCACCCTAGAAGAAACCCCCTGTGCTCATTAGCAGTCACCTCCCTTCTTTCCCAATTCTCTCCCCTGGCAACCACCATTCTACTTTTTTGTCTTTATGGATTTGCCTGTTTGGACATTTCATATAAATGGAATAATATAATATGGATAGCCTTTGCTGTTTGGCTTCTTAGCATGTTTTTGAGATATATCTGTATTGTAGCGTGTAATTCATCATCATTACAGTATATGCCATTTTTATGGGTGAATAATATTTCCTCAGAAAGACCACATTTATCTATTCCTTAGATAGTTCATTTGGGTTGTTTTCAGTTTTTAGCTATCATAAACAGGCAGCTGGGAACATTCATTTAGGAGTTTTTGTGTGAACATGTTTTCAGAGGTAATAATTTTTCAAGTTTGGATCCTAGCCTCCTCTAGTGTTTTCCTTTTGAAATGTGTACATCATGCCTGTACATGGGAATATCTGTATTTTTGCAAGTGAGGAATTATCCTGTGCGTATCATTCTATCATTCAGTAGCAAGCCTTCCCAACTTGGCAGTCTAGATCTTCAGAGGTTCATTTCAATTTTGTTGTTGTTATTTTAACCCTTGGTTATGGAATGTAGTGTCTCTAATAATCCAGTTCTTTGCTTTGCAGGTCTTTATCACTATCCAATCCATTGTCATCCAGTCTCTAAATAAAACATTGACCCCACTGGAACACACTGACGTGCTGTGGCCAACTCTCGTGGGCTCTGGGCAGGAGAAAATCTGCATTCACGTTGTTCTCGAGGTAGGCGCCCAGTGTGGCCTGGCAAGCTCTGCTTGTGTGTGGCAGGCTCCAGCCAAGTGCCTTGGGTAGGGCATCTGAACTCCTCCAGAGTGGGCGCCGCTCACTCTGTGTTGGCATTTTTCTTGGCTTGGCCTCCTGCTTGCTTTTATGCTGGTATCAGAGGGTGTTTGTCACACAAACCCAGCGACTTGCAAGAATCATCAAAGTTTCGCTGCTGCTGCTCTTGCCTTGGTGTGGTGTTGCCAGAGGTGAGCTGGTTCCATTCTACTTGGACCAGCTGACTTGGAATCTTACAGAAGTCAGGCAGAGTCTCAGGTGACCCCATCCATGGGGCTGATACCAAGGGAACACCTCCTGTAATCCAGTTGGACAACAGAAAAGTTGCAAGAGATGGGAAAGGATTTTCTCCCTATGGATATGCGAGTTATTGATATAGTTAGTGAGATGCAGTGGAGACAGGTGTATTTGGAGTATCCTTCTGTTTTAGGTAAAGTACAGCCTCACATACACAGAGAAAGGTGAGATAATGAAAGCCGCTGTCTCATTCCTTCTGGGGACAGTGAGCAGTGCGGTGATTCCCCTGCAGCAGAAGTTTGAGATTCACTTTACTCAGGTAAGTTTGACCAATTTTGTTTAAGTATTTAAGTGCCAACTTAAGAACTCCTAACTGCTTAGACAAAATCAGTTTAGAAGTCTTGCTGCATCTGACCATTTGCACTGAAGGGCTGTGTGAGGCCTGTGAGGTTTGTAATGCAGCCAAGCAGGGTCCTTGCAGTAAGGAATAAGGCTGCCGTCGGCCTCAGCTTGTTCTTTTGCAGCCTGGTGCACTCCCACACCCAGCAGATATATTTATAGTTCTGAGTAGGGGGAGAAATTCTTTAATTGGTTGGCAATTATGAAAGGCATTTCATTTTCTCCCTGTTGTTTCCTTATTAAAATGAGGATCATCTGGGGGCATTTCTTCATTGTCTTTCAGCAAGGTACAAAGCCGGTTCCTCTCAGTGGAAACCCTGGTTATGTTGTGGGGCTCCCGGTAGCTGCTGGGTTTCAGCCTCAGAAGGGATATCCTTTTTGCTCCTGTGGGGGTTGATGTCCCTGTCCACATGCCTGGGCCATGCTCCTCTTTACTGCTGAGGTCCTGTGGTAGGAGAGACCTGGCAGGGCCAGAGCTTCCTCAGGACAGCCCTGTGTGCGTGCGTGTGTGTCTGTCAGTCTGTCGGTCGGTAGGTCGGTCAGTCTGTCTGACTCTCTGTCTCTCTTTCTGGCTGTATAGCCAGAGGAGCTGAGCGGAGACAGCAGGGCTTGGAGAAGTGCTGGTGTTTTGAAACTGAAATCTTCAGATGGAAAAGTTGATGTTTGGATGCATTTAATTTTACATTTAAACAGAGGCTCTTAAACAAGCTTAATGATTTTGAAAATTTGGATTTAATTTTGAAGGGCAGTTTCTGAGGATTTATTTTTCCTGAGGAACACAGTTATAACTATTTCGCCCCTTCCTGGGAAATAACTGTCAACATCCCCGCAGCCTAGAGAAGGGAGTTTGGGAAACTCTCACATCCCTTGTCACAGGGACATCATCTTCTGACTGACGGGAAACAAGGCTGCTCTAGCACCAGGCGACTGTCCCTTAACTGTCTGTGAATGTCCGGGATCATTCAGACAACAAATAGATATGGACAACTCACGATCCTCCGCAGCTCGGCTGAGCAGGACTGCTTAGCTGTTGAGGGGACCCGGACCCCAGTGTTGTTTGGCTACAACATGCAGTCTGGCTGCAAGCTACGGTGAGAGTGACCTGTTTCTCTTTGAACTTGTTTGTGTTGATCAGAAAACAGAACATTCCCACTCTTCCCCATTTTAAGCATACCTCTGCCTCAGCAGATGAGCGCATATGAAAGCCACCATAGTTTATTATAATTATTAATGAATAGAAGCAAAATGATCACAACCATTTTTCTTACCAAATATGGCAGACTAAAAATGGCAAAGTTTTGTGTGTTTCATGTTCAAGGTCAGATGCACCTGAGTTCAGAGCAAAACGTTCTCTCGCTAGTCCTTCCCATGTTTCTGAATTTTAATGTGCACAGCACAAGAAAAACAGTGAAAGGAAGGCTGAATGTGATCTCTTTTTAATTTATCTTTTTATTATCAAATATATGTACATCATATGAAATGTCAATCAGATCTGTACAACTTGTTATAAAACCAGCGGTTCTTTTTTTATGTATATTTTTTAGTTGTCAATGGACCTTTATTTTGTTTATTTCTATGTGGTGCTGAGAATCGAACCCAGTGCCTCAAAAGTGCTAGGCAAGCACTTGGCCCCTGAGCCGCAACCCCAGCCCAAAACCAGCAGTTCCTACCCTCATTTGCTCCATCCCAGATGCAATCCTGTTCAACCCTTCTAGCTGGGTTTTTGGGAATCCACCTCCAGATCTTTAAATAATCTGCACATAATGTATTTATTGATTTTTGGGGGGGCTTTCTAAATTTTTTTATTGCGTCCTCCCTCTGGAAGAAGGAGGCTTGGCTCTTTTCCCTTCGCCCCGTGCCCCACCACCCACACACCTGCCGAATCTCCTCAGGGTCATTTTGTCATTATTCTGGTTTGGCTACCATTCACCATTTACATTGTTCTGATCCCCTTAGACTGGATTTCTCAAAGGGGGTCCATGGAATACTATTCTATAAGATGTCCGAAGGCATAGGTCTATGATTTAGTAAGTTTGGGAAATACCATATTATAGTTAAAACCGTGATTCTTTCCTATAGGACTTCTCAGAGGCTTTCATATGCCAATATGCTTCAGAAGGGACAGGGGGACATAGGGAGGCAATGTGTCCTCAACTTTTGTCCACAGCACCCTTCCCATACAGAGAATTGTAACACAATTTGAGAAACATGGTTTTGGAGCGTCTCCATTGCCAGGATTCTGCAAAGTTAGGGACACTTTGGCTTGTGTCCAATTATCTCCCTCTGGGAAGTGAGAAAATAAACTGGAGAGGGATGTGTATCATTGAAGCTTTTGGGGCTGGGGATATAGCTCAGTTGGTAGAGCGCTTGCCTTGCATGCACAAGGCCCTGGGTTCAATCCCCAGTACACACACACACACAAAAAAAAAAAAAAAAAGAAAGAAAGAACAATAGGAACTCCTAAATCAGAAAACAAAAGTGATAAAGAAAAAAAAAAGTGAAGCTTTTAAACATTGGTGGATGACTGTTGCCTCTTTTTCCTTCCCAAAGACTGACCAGCGCCCTCCCATGTAGGTTAGTGGCACGGAAGGTAAAGGACCTGCTGAAGGGCCAGGGCTTCCCAGATTATGTGGCCCCATTTGGAAATTCCCAGGCCCAGGATGCGCTGGACTGGGTGCCTGTCCACTTTGCTACCCTGTCATCCAACGTGAAGGTAAAGGGGAGGAGTTGAAGGCTGTCTGCTTGCAGTCCCTTTTTTTAAAAATATATATATATTAAAAATTTATAAATAAATACTTATATATTTATTTGTATGTGGTACTGAGAATCGAACCCAGTGCCTCACACATGCCAGAAAAGTACTCTACCACTGAGCCCCAGCCCCTGCTTGCAGTCCCTTTTACTTCTGGGTGGGGTGACAGGCAGCCGGGGCTATCCTTGTGAAGAAGATGGGGTGCTCTGTTATCAGATTGGCCTGGATATTGAATACTGCTTGGCCCTTGTTGGCATTGTCATGATAAGTCAGCAATTTCATGGGCTTGAGCCTATTTCCCCTTCTGTGGGATGGGAATCATGGTATAGACCTCATGGGGTTGTTGAGAGGGTTAAATGAGGCCCTTGGCAGGGTACCTAGTGTCCCTATATAAACTGAAACCTTGACAGTCACCATCTTATTACTCCAGGTGGAGCATCTCTGATCCCAAACTCAGAAATTCTAAGTACTCCAAAATCTGAAACATTTTGAATACCAACGTTACTATGCAAGTGGCAAATTCCACACCTGGCCTCATGTGATGGTCACAGTCAAAACCGAACACACTAATTGCCAGATATGGTGACACTTGCCTGTGATCCCAGTGACTAGGGAAGTGGAGACAGGAGGAGAACAAGTTCCAGGCTAGATTCAGCAGTTTATGGAGTCCCTGTCTCAAAGTAAAAGGCAATTTAAAGGAGGTGTAGGCCAGGGGTAGAGTTCAACCCAGCAAAGTACTGATAGGGAGGTAGGTAGGGAGGGAGTCAGCACCAGTCTGTCTATGTGTATATGAAACAAGTTCACATTTGGGCTTGGGCCTTGTCGCCAAGAAATCTCACTCAGGCACATGCAGATATACCAAAATCTGAAAAACAAAAAACAAAAAAAACCACTTTGGGTCCCAAGCATTTTAGATAAGGGATGATCGACCTGTACCATTATTGTGGGTACTGCACATGCCCTCCCCAGAATGGGGACCGTCTCAGCCTTCCTCCGTCCTCCCAGCTGTCCCATCCATGTTCCCTGGTCTATAGAGGCAGCCCACAGGAGTGCTTTCAATTCCAAAGTTCCCCAAGGAGTTTAATGGAAGTTGACATCCTACAAATAGGTTCCTGGTCACATGTGACTCTTCCACCCACTGTTTTCTTTTGTCTTAGCAAAGTGTGGGCCGTGCATCATGGAGGCGTGCTCCCCATCTTCTGCCCTAATTGCCCAGCTATTTCTTGTCATGCTTTCTTCAGGCCCCTCATTACCGGCTTTGCATATTTATAGCATGGGCATAATGGGGTGAGGAGGTTCACAGCTCTGACCCCGCCCTCCCTCAGCAGAGACCCAGGATTACTCCGTGCCTGCTGCTCAGCTGCTCAGCCTTGGCTAAGCTCAGCTGCCTAGTGAACCCTGCAAATCGCTCCTGGCTTCTTGGTGCTGGGTGTAGACACCCAGTTATTACTGCCCCTCCAGTGGGAAGATCCTGGGTGGGAGCAGAGGCAGCCATGCGTGGGGAAGCAGCCCTGCCTGGGGCTGTGTGGGTCCTGAGCCTTCAGCTGGGCTGGGGCACATTTATACCAACTAAGCAGGAAAACAAGTGGAAGGAGCTGGGGTCCCTGCCAAGCTTGGTTCACACCAGTGGCGACTGCTGCAACGTCTCCTCAGAGCAGAATGTCAGTGAGGATGGCAGGGTTTCTAAAAGGCAATTCCAAGCTAAGGAATTCCATTCAGGACTTACAGCAGGTACCAAATTCAGCAGGCTTGTAGCTCTCCATGCCCTGAGAGATGCAGTTAGAAATATGTTTTTATCATGGAAAAATCTCCAACACACAGGAAAATAGCATAAAACAGTGGGATCCCCATCTACCCCTCAGGCAGCTTCCATAGTTATCAGATTTGCCAACTGAAAAAACTTTAAAGGCAGGAGAAAGGTCTGGCAGGCCCACTTGCCCCTTTTTCTCTTGGGGCTGACCAAGCAAAGGTCCTGGGGCAGAGGAAGCTTCCAGCCTGAGCCAGGGCATCTGGACTGTGGCCCCCGTGCTCTCAGTGCAGAAGATGTGTTGCTAATATCTTTGACAACACACATTGCCTGAGTACCCAATGTCACATCTTGATTGCTAATGATAGAGTTAAGTAAATAAGAAGAATTCTCACATTTCCTCTCCTTTCCCAACCCCCTGTTCTGGGGTCAACCCCAGGGCCTGGTAACTATTAGCTCTCTCAGCCCTTTTTATTTTGAGAAGGCCTTCGCTGAGTTGCCCAGGCTGGCCTTGAACTCTTGATCCGCCTGCCATAGTCTCCCAAGTAGCCTCTCGGTGCATTCAACATGCTGTGCAATGGAGCTTCATGGTCTCCCCCTTCCTCCTCTCCTCTGGCTAGTTTCTCTCCCACATTCTGAGGTAGATATAGATGCCCTTAAGTCCCTGAATGTCCCATCACTGGGGAGCAAGATGGCCACAACTCCCAGCGCTGCCGGCCTCTCCAGAACCAGCAGGGAGGCAGAGGTGATGCGAGGTGTTACGCTATTTTTGGAGCATTGAGTACTTTAATAATATGTGCTCTTCAAAGCTGTTTTTATCTGAACTTCTAGAGTCTATTCATTCTCTTGTTCAGAACATTTTGTAATATGTGGGACATTTTGTAATTAAAACTTTGAACTGCAGATTAAGTTTCACTTGGAGTTGTGTAATGTTCAGATTGATTAATGGAGCTATGTTTTGCAGGATTCCTGCCAGCTTCCAGTGGCTTTGGTTATAGAGGTGAAGTGGACTAAGTACGGGTCCCTCCTGAACCCACAGGCCAGAATAGTCAATGTAACTGCAAATCTCATCTCCTCCTCCTTTCCTGAGGTAGGCCTGATGGAGTTTAAAGGTTCAGGTTGGGTCTGGGGTGTATCTCAGTGGTAGAGCCCTTGCCTAGCGTGCGGGAGGCCCTGGCTGTGATGCCCAGCCCTGCAAAGCAGAACACAACAGAAGAGAGTTTAAGACAAATCCAGACAAAACTCAAGTATGACAGGTAAAATTTATTACTTGGTAAAAAGAGATTAGCTTTTAAACAATCTGGATTGTTAAAACAATTTTGCTGTGGTTATTTACTTAGAGGGAGAAACCCACTGACAAAGATTTTATTTACATTAGCAGTCTTGTTTAATCTTTTTTTATAATCATTATTATTTTTAAGGTAGACACAATATCTTTATTTTATTTTTCTGGGAACCCAGTGCCTCATGCATGCCAGGTGAGTGTGCTACCACTTGAGCCACAACCCCAGCCCCTAGATTTAATCTTTAAAACCCTCATGAAAATGAATTGTTGATCGTGGTGTGTCAGGTGAGGACAGCCGGGGTAAACTCTGCCTGTCAGCCGAGGCAGTAGCCGAGGGACCCCAGTGAACCTGTCATCTTCATGAACTGACAGGAGTCATGGCGTGAGGAAGAGGAGGAAAGAGGTCTCATTTTGTCCTGGCCACACACTGGAGGGGGGTCTTGCTTCTGACTCTTTATTACAGACCAGCGCCGGAAATGAAAGGACGGTTCTCATTTCCACTGCGGTTACTTTTGCGGCTGTGTCTGCACCTGCAGAGGCGGGCTTCAGAGCGCGGCCAGCCATCAACGCCAGGCTGCCCTTTAACTTCTTCTTCCCATTTGCTTGACGTAAGTGGTCCCTGGAGGAAACCGAGCCCCACCTCGGTCTGAGGTCTTTTCCTCTGGAACGCGTGCACGTGGGGCTGCAAGTCCCTCAGAGGCGTCCCACTTCCTCACGCCTCCCACGCCTTGGTGTTGCCCCCGCACCAACTCGCTGCCCCGAACCAGCTTCCAGCTTTCTTGTCCCCTTCTGGAAGTTTCACTCTGCTTGGTTTGGATTTAGAGTTGGTCATAGATGGAAGTGGTCTTGGGGGCCGGGGCGGTGGAAAAAACAGCCCTTGCAGCAGCCCACTCGGGGATCTCTCCAGTTCATCCAGCCCTGCTTTAATGAGAGTTATTTTTAAAATGTTCATCGTTTCTAGCTCAGGTTTTCTTTCAAGTCCTATTGAGCTAAGTACAAAAATAGCAAAATACTGTATAAAATCATGCAAGTCGGGTGCAGAGCCTCAAGAGGGACTCTTAAGAGATCATGTGAATTACAGGGCAGCCTTGGGTCTAATTGCCACCCTGCACCAGGCCCTGCCGGAGCTGGCTCTCCAGCTGGTGGGCTGCGTGGGAGGCCCCGGGGCGGGCAGGGCAGGGAGGCGGCTCAGGGGAGAGGTTATTCTATACGTTAATTGTAGGTCATTGAGAACCGTGCTGTCAGGTGGCAGAACGCTGGATACCGCAGAGGAGGGTCCTGGGTACCTGGAATGACATCCCCGTGGTGACAGCAGAAGACTCTAGAACAGCGTGGGAATAAAAAGGACCTTTCTAGGATGGGCTGGAGGCTAAGGCGGCTGCTTTTCTTTTTCTTTCAGAGTGAAAGGACATGCCGGTCCCAGCATAATCATGTGAAATTTGAAAACTGTACATTAGATGAGATTAAATTTTATATACAACTAGTCATCATCCAACGTGTCATATTTAAGCCAAGAGTGCAGTGTCCAACATGAGGAAACAGTCTGATCTGGCTGCTGTGCGTGGCAGGGTGGCAGCTCTTGGGTCATACCGAGGAAGAACGGCCTCCGGTGGTTGCTTCCAACACAGCCCCGGTGGGACCCATGGGCGAGGCACTGACCCAAGCCCCTCACCACGTGACCAGGCAAGGTGGTCACTCTTGGGCACGGGCCAGCCCAGGGAGGCAGGGTCCTCTCTGGGGCCGGGCTGGGGGAATCTAATTCACCTCGCTGAGAAGCCCGTGCTGCCTCAGGAGCTTGTTGAGTCTTTCAATTTCTTGTTCCTGTTGCAAAAGCAGACAGAGGGACTTTCTGAGCCTCTGTAGGGATGTGACAAAGAGCCAGTGAGCCCCAGGGACACAGATATGAATGGGAGCTACACTCCTTGTGGAATTCAGGCTACTGAGGCGACTGCCAGAGTCAGGAGGGTCCCCAAGCTGCAGCAGTGACAGCAGCAGGCAGGTGACTGGTGACTCAGGGCAGGGGTGGCCGAGCCGAATCTGAAAGGATGGGAATGCGCGAGGGAAGGGCGCTCCCGGCCCCCCAGGAGCAGAAGCACCATGCCGAGGTGGGAACTGCAAGTGGATGTTGTCCCCAGGTCTTACCTTCTCAGAGCAGCTAAATTCAAGGTGTTGGATTTTGGCGACCAGCTGAATATTCATCTGTTTTAACCTTAAGAGCTGCCGTTCTGAACGTGTCTTGACCGAGATGATTATCCCTGAAAATGGGGAGTCACAGGATTCTAGTTTAACCACTGGGGGGTGGAGAAGTGATTTCTACATGTATAGAGTTGGGAAGAATGACAGTGGTAGTCATCACAGAGTGGCCTCCAAACTAAGAGGGCCAGGTATTCCCTTGGGAGCCTCCGTTTCCGGGTGTGTGGTGTCTCCTCGGCTCATGTGGCTGAGAGCTCTTTTAAAATAGCCATAACCACGAAGCTCCTTATCCAGAACCTGTCCAGGACAGTGGCCCTGGTCCATGGCAGTGGGTGCTGACATGCCATAGGAGCCCCTCATGGTCAACCCTCAGCAGAAGCAGTGATGACCGAGCCTCCACTCTGCCCCTGGACAGAATCCAGGCTCTGTCCTTCCCGGGTTTTGCTCTCAACGCTAAATCTACACTTGCTGGTGACCAGCCGCCCCCACCCCGCCCACATCTGCTGCAGCCAGTTTCCCTGCAGGTCCTGCTGGAGCTCAGGGGGCTGCGGCCATACAGGACTCACCAGGCCACCAAGGGAAGCGGCTCCACGCAGAGGGCCTGTCCCTCCCTTAGCGCCCTGAACCATGGCCCATCCGTTCAGGGATTCCCAAACCTTGGCTGGACACCTGGAGAGCTTCCGAGGTAGACCTACATCCAAGCTTATCAGGCCTTCTGCTGCAGACTGTTTTAAAAAGGTCTGAAGGTGACCACTGTGGCAGGTACACAGGCAGGCCATTAAGCAACCAGCCAGCTGTGGTCACTCTCCACATAAAATCCCTTGGCCTGAAGCGCCTGTGCACGGGGTGTGTGGGGGGAGGGCTCTTCTCGAGACAGGCACAGAGCGGCTCCTTGAGCTCCCAGAGCCCATCTCTGGATCTCTGGTGGGTCATCAACACCACTCAAAGGCTACCACATGCTGTGACCTCCTCAGAGCTCAATTCCTGCATCCCTGCTGGATGGTGCCTCCTGGGTGGCCTGGCTGGGGTGGGCTTCTCTTAGGAGACACCCAGTTTAGAACCGAGATGCCCTGGGAAAAGCCTGGAGAGATTCCCTGGGCCTTAGCCTAACCCTTTCCATGAATCAATCTTTTGGGATGGTACCGTTGAACTTGGGGGCCCCTGAGCCTCATCCCCAGCCCTAGTTTGTATTTTATTTAGAGACAGGGTCTCACTGAGTTGCTTAGCACCTCGCTTTTGCTGAGGCTGACTTTGAACTCATGTTCCTCCTGCCTCAGCCTCCTGAGCTGCTGGGGATTACAGGTGTGTGCCATCATGCCCGGTTCCATGGATATCCATGAACCTTTTTTTGTGTGTGGTACTGGGGATTGGACCCAGGACCTTGTGCATGCGAGACAAGCACTCTACAACTGAGTTGAAGTCCCAATATCTTTCGATAATCATGAAAACAGCCCGAAGGAGAGAGGTGGTTCCCAGAGCAGATATCCTGGTCTCACTCTGGCCTCTGAAGTGGCAGTCAGTGGCCAAGTCGCATCCTGCCCCATGTTTTTCTGGACTTCTGGGAGGAGGCAGGGGCTGTGATGGAGACTATGTGTATGTGAGCTCAGGCTCCTGGGGTGACTAAACAGCTGGCCTTGGCACCCTCTGTCCTGTGCCCTCTGCAACCCAAGGGTGCTGGGTACCTACCATTGATGATCCGGGCCACCCGCCATAGCCTGAGCAGGATCAGCAGGCCTAGAGCCTCAAACTCATGCTCCCAGAACAGGAGGACTATGTCGAGGATGAAGGAGACCACCACCACGACAGCATCCAGGATCTCAAACTTGTGGTGAAAGAATTCCAGGCGGAAGACGAAGATTTTAAAGAAAATCTCCATCATAAAGAAGATCAAGATGGCGATGCTCATGTAGTGGAACACCTGGAGGGGAGGAAGAGCCACAGTCAGGAGATGGTGCCACTGGCCACAGGGCAGGTCACAGAGACTGACCTTGAGTACCCCTGCTAGTTACCAGAGGGAGAATTCACTGGGCTGACAAATACTGAACTCCCAGCCCAGGTGCTGTGCTGAGGGTCACTGGCATGGCAGGTGGGCAATGCCAGAATTCAGAGTCCACTCCCCACCCCGCCCCTGCAGCTTGGCAGCCCCACTGCTAGGAACACACCCCAGGGCAAAGCTTGTGCATGCTCAACGACATGTCATGGGGTGTTTACAGCAGTGGTTCGCAGAACCTGCGATCTTTGCCTTGTCTGTGAACAATGTCAGCGTCATTGGGACCACCCAGCAAGTTCTCATGGCACTCCATAGACATCCTGCTCCACTGTTAGGGCCTGGGCAGAGCCACCCACATGAGCCCACCGGGAAAGACCACCAAGTGAAGAGGGTCCCCAGATCTCAGTTATGAACACCTCACTAGGGAAACAACCTCTGGCTCTGGAGCAGAGGACATAGTAAGTGAGCTGGGCTCCGTGTGCCAGGAAGGACATGCACAGGCTTAAGGGCGTCATGTCAAAAGGACACAGTAGTCAGCCTGAAGAGGCTCACAGCGGCCAAATTTGGGACAATCTGAACATCAGAAAGGCTGACCGAGATTGATTAACACACCGAATAAAAAATAAAAATCTCAGGTCCACGGCGGGGCAGGCACACAGGCTTCAAAGACAGCGCCTGGTTATGGAAGGGTGGCCATTACTAAGGGTGGGGGAGAGAAGGCTAGAAAATCACATTCTGTACCCCTCAGTGTTCACTGCTCGGGCAAGGGTCATGCCTCTAGGGAAGGGGACATTTGTGTTGTACCAAAGTATCACTAGGCAGGCTATTTATAACTGCAAAGGGACACATGTCCCTGGACAGTAGTATGGTCCAGCATTTACTGCCTAAATTGAAAGATCTAGCTGAGTATCGCTGAGTGGGAGACCCAGCTTTATGTGGAACTCCTGAAGGCGCCACATAAAGAATGTGTCCCATGAGAACACTTGCTGATGGAGCCTCTGGACCTAGGGAACCAACTAATGGGTCTCTTTGTCCGGATTTATCCAGACTAACCTAGAACCTCTGACAGCCTACAGGACAACTGACTGGACAATTCAAAAAGTCAGTATCATGAGGAGGGGAGAAGGCCGAGTGCTGGCTCTATGTTACAGAGGACATCTTGGGACAAGCGAGGAGATTCAAGTGGTAATGATATATCTGCTGACCACTGAATCGGGTCTGACGGTTCTGCAGGGCAGGTGAAAGACCTTATTCCTACACTGCTGAAGTGTTCAAGGGGGAAGTGTCGCTACATCTGTGACTTATTTTCAAATGGCCAGGCAGAAATACCTGTGCCCGTGTGGATGTATACTGATGAAGGAAATTGCGTATTGGCCATTTTTCATAATTACAAAATTTTGGGAAAAGACAGTATGGCAGATATGTTATTGAAGAAAGTGGGAGAACTGGGCAAGGTGGTGCACGCTTGTGATCCCATCAGCTTGGGAGGCTGAGGCAGGAGGATCTCCAGTTCAAAGCCAGCCTCAGCAAAAACGATGTGCTAGGCAACTCAGAGAGACTCTGTCTCTAAATAAAATATTTTTTAAAAGGCTGGGATGTGGCTCAGTGGTTCAATGCCCCTGACTTCAATCCCTGGCACAAAAACAAAAAAAATCAAAAAAACCCAAAAACAAAAGCCAGAAAGTGGGCGAGAGAAGGTACTCCTCGGGCTAGGGATGTGGCTCAGTGGTAGCGCGCTCGTCTGGCATGCGTGAGGCACTGGGTTCAATCCTAAGCACCACATAAAAGTAAAAGATATTGTGGGGGCTAGGGTTGTGGCTCAAATGGTAGAGTGCTCGCTTAGCAAGTATGAGGCACTGGGTTTGATCCTCAGCACCATATAAAAATAAAATGAAGATATTGTATCCATCTAAAACTAAAAAATAAATATTTAATTTTTAAAAAATAAAGATATTGTTCCACCTAAAACCAAAAAATAAATATTAAAAAAAAAAGGTACACCTCCTTCCTTGCAGACCAGGCCGGCCTAGGTGACAACAGAACGGAGTTGCCTCTGCCCTTTTACCATTTATAAAGATAGGCATTTAATAGGGATTCCATTTTTCCCCCAGAAAGCACATGGGGAGATGTCTTTGAGGCTTGGATTTCCTCCTGTGTTTCCACTGCCTGTTGGGTGAACATCTGGGTCGGGCTCAGCCTTTAGTGGATGTCACTAAAGGGACCAGGAAAACACCAACAGAAGACAGGAGGAGAACGACACTCCTGCCCCCGGAAGGGGAACGTGCCTCATGTCCCTGATTATATAGGCCTGCAACCAGTGACTGGCTCTGGCGAGCTTCAGTGAAATGAGCTTCCTCCTTGTACTAAATGCTTCTCTCTCAAATCTGGAAAGGCAGGCCTCTTCTCCAGCCGTTGACTAAAACACCCAGACTACTTCCCAGCAAGCCCTGTGGCTCCAAGAGGGGTGGTAGCCGCCCCCTCTGCCCCCAGTGCAGATAACAGAAGTGACCCACATCAGGAGCACCCCAGAGAGCGGAGACAAGCTACCTGGGGCGCATAGTTGTTCTTGACAAGCTGGATGATCTTCAGGTCCAGAATGAGCTCAGCGAGCACCAGGAGAGCGTCCAGAATGACCAGGCAGATGATGACGACCTGCGGGCAGTGGGAGGACAGAAAGTGTGAGCCTGAAACAGGGCCCTCCTCCCGCCCTTAGGAGCTGCCTGGAAACATCAGTGAGACCACCAGGTACAGGTGCCGAGGAGGGAGAGCCACTGCCAATACCTTCCTGGAGGGAGCCTGCAGGGGCAGGTCCCCACGGTCACAAGCTGCCACCTGCCCACCACCTCTCCCCCCAGCCTCTCTCTGCCGCTGACCCACTGCCCCTCCACGACACTAGGCTCTTCCTTGCTCCTTCACCTTTTCCCTGAGCTGGCTCAGACCAAGTTCCACTTCCCAGATGGCAAACGTTTTTTAAAAGTTACATTTTTCTATTTCTGGGGATTGCTGTCGCCACAGGGTGCACAGAACAGATACTGGAGAAGTCATCTGACACATCCCGCCTCAGGGCTCTGGGATCTGGAAGGGGGGACTCCAGCAGCTGCCTACTCTTCAGATGACAGTGATACCACTGTACACAGAAACCAGCTCCTGCTTGTCGGGGACGGAGAGCAGGCCTGGGTTTCCTGGACAATTGGGAAGAGCTGAGTGGCAGAGTGGGGCTCTGTGACTTGCTACAGAGGGTCAGTGGGTGCCAGAGCGAGGGGTTGTCTCATTGATGGCAGCAGGGATGCTGCTGGTGAGGCCACTAATGGCAGGGGTACATTGACAGAGTTCTGACAGTCCATGGTGGCTGTGGAAATGGCAGCAGTGGGGGAGCCCCAAGGGACCCCGTGTGATACCCCTCTTTCCTCAGAAATTCCAGACCTCAGGCCTTGCCTCTCACGCTGTTAGATCCGTTGATTTTGACCTCTAAAACGTAATCTGCTGTAAACTGGCAGTTTCACATTGAAATTCAACAAGTTGGGGCCTATGAAGAAGGGACTGTTTAACTTTTTGGCCATTTCCACCTGTAGTTAGTTGCTGCAATAAAGTGTCTGATGATGTCTTGATGACGTGGCAAATGGCTCTGCAAGGAAGTTTCCACACACATCCAAATTCAGCAGCTTAGTAAAGATTCAAGCCTTGGGTGTTTTCTTTTTCTTTCTTTCTTTTTTTTTTTTTTTTTAATTTTTGGTTTTATTTTAGGACCAACGGGATCTGAGAGTTCTTATAGTCTTAAAAAAAAAAAAAAAAGCCAGGCACAGATATTTAGACCTAAGATCCAGTATTCAGCCCTAAAATGGAATGAAGGGCCGCACGTGCTACATCATGCCACGTGAGGGGCCAGACACGGGAGACCACGCATCGCATGCCTCCTTCCACACAGTGTCCAGATAGGCATGTCCAGAGGGACAGCACAGACAGAAGGCCTTGGGGAGACTGGGAAGTGATGGCTCAATAAGAACAGGGTCTCTTTGGAGGGTTGATAAGAACATTCTGGAACTAGAGAGTGGTGGGCTACATAACACTGACTATACTAAAAACACCACAGAATTACTTCAAAATGATTGATTTCATATGAATCTCACCTGAGTTTATAAAAAGCAGAAACAAAAGTAAGAGAAAGATTCAAGACCAAGAAAACCATAATGCCTGGACCCCAATCCTGGCTCCTGTGAACCCTCAATCTGCCACTCACCAGGCAGCACTGTCTGGAAGAAGCCGCGTCACAGAGAAAAATGCAGAGAATCTGGAGAAGCCCTTAATCCCCAACCCTCCCCTGCAGAGCTGGGCCAGGCCTGTGGCTGTCCCAGGTCCCCACACCAGCACCTTCCAGTGCTGTAGAGCCTCCATGAGCTGACGCTTCAAATCTGAGAAAGCGGAGTTGGCCACCTCTTCTGCCCCCAGGTGACCGGGGAGTGTGGTGTGGGACAGAGGAGAGTGCAGGGCAGAGTTCTCCCGCCCACAGGCAGGAGTAAGAGCAACGCTCCCCACTCCAGGCACCCCCCTTGGTGGCTTCCACAGAGACATGGTAGACCCACTTTCTCTCCTAGGTGAGCTACCCCATGAGAGAAGGGACAGCATTAGCTGTCATCTCACCTTGGCCACCTCAAACCACCCAAGAAAGGGATTCCAGGACCTTCTTGCATGCTACCATCAGAGAGCAACACCCCTGATTTCCTGTCCCCTACTCCATGTGGCTACCCTGTCCTACCACAGCCCCTTTCCCCATCTGATGAGTTTGCGCCCCAACCCTGTAGAGAACCCTCTGCCTGCCATACCCCTCCTGCTGCTGCAGGGTCGCTGCTCACCACGAGAGTCAAGGCCTCCTGGCAACCCCTCCAAGGCACTTGGCTCTTTCCCTGCTTGTGCCCTTGAAAAAAACGGCCCCTGTACTTGGAAAGCGTCCCCCTTCCATCCACAGGGCTCATTCCTGCTCAGCCCTCCAGTGTTGGGGGACACATTACCTCCTTTGATTCCCAGTCCTCCATCAGGCCCTGGGCCTCCCAAGATTTCTCAGAGACCCTTCTGTCCCCTGTCAGGGGGCTTCTACCTGGGCTTATTATCCTGTGATTCCTGTCTGTCTGCAGACTCTCAGGTCCTCTTCAGTGAGGGCAGGGATAAGTTCACTGCTGTATTCAGTAGATGCTCTTTAAATAATTGTCACATGACTGAATAAACATCTTGATTTATTTTGTGACAGTTATCAGTTGGCTTTTCCCCAATAATGTCTGTGGAGGTCCTGGCTCCAGGTGTTAGTCCTGATCCCCAGCAGGCTGAGTGGACCAGTGGTCCATTCAGGAGGCAGGGAACATCCTGAGGGGGTGGTCCAGGGCTCCAGGGTCCCCTTGCAGCTGGAAGGAAGCTGGCTTCTTCCTTCAGCTCCTGAAATTGAGGGTTTGGAATTTCAACCCCAACAAGTTAATACCATGTTTCTGTTCCCGTCACAGCCACAGAGCAGAGCTGAGGAGCAGCAGACGCTGGGTGGCTTCCCTTCTGTGAGCCACCCAAGAATGGATCAGATAAAGACCAAGCTGTTTGTTTCTGTTTTACTCTAGAACAAGGTGGGTGATGGCAGAGGCCAGGGCTGTCTGCCTCTCTGCTTCCAGAGGCACAGGGCTCCAGGGAGGATGTCTGCGGTAGTGTCCCCAAAATGCTTCCCTCGGGACCTGGACCTTCAAGGAGCTGTGAGCTTCCCTGACGTCTCTGAACTCCCACATTCTCCCAGGACCCAGAATGTGCTTCCAGACACCAGCCTGCCCCCCTCAAGGCAGAGGGTGGGGTTCCTGGGGCTGAGCAGACTCAACCTGCATTTGACTTTCAAAATCAAAATGTCCTTGTGACCCCATAAAGCTCAGTTCCCGCTGCTCTTCTTTGAGGCCCAGGCCTCCCCGTCTCCACATGGCCCCATCGGGAAGGCAGCCATGGTTTCAAGCCTGGCAGACACTCTTGGCTTCACTTCACAAGAAGAGGCTGAGGGTGATGGTCTCGAGCCCTGGGAGGCAGGGCCCCCTTTTGGCCTTGCTCAAGATCAGGCAGACTGTTTGCTGAACTCGCAGATGAATTTTTTTTCTGCCCCCAATGATTACCATCTAACTCGCTGTGTGTGTTTGTGTGTGTGCACGAGTGTGTGTGTGTGTGTGTATAAAAATTGCTATAGTGATCATTTTTAAATTGGAGCAGCTTGGCAGAGTTAGGTATGTCCCAAAGGTGCAGCTGGCCACTCACTAGCTCCTGATATCACCATTGCCCCTGTCACCCAGCAGCCACTCCCCTCTCCTGCCCCTCACCTGAGCACTACCAACTTGCTTTCTGTCTACCTGGATCTGCCTGTTCTGGATGCTTCCTATCAATGGCTTTGTACACCTCGTGGCCGGAGCGCTGGCTCTTTGACCTGGCCTTAAGGATGGTCCTTGTGTCATGAGTTAGAGCCTCATTCCCGCCCAGGGCTCAACTGCGGCCTGTAGTTCGGATAGAGGTTAGACCACATTTTGTTTATCCATTCACCTGCTGATGATGAGGATTATTTCCTCCCTGACAACATGGGATGGGCCCATGGCACCCCAGTGAGCCCGGGGCTCCTGGCACATGGTGGGCATCTGTGAAGGAGCAGTGGAATGGCAGAGGTGGGTCCCTCCCTGCAGGCCTGGTGACTTCCACAGGAGGCCCTTCCCCGCCTGGGGCCTCTGGGCCTTTGCCCCTCCTACCTGAAATCTGTGGGAGCTGAAGAGCTTCCTCAATATGCTCCTGAAGTCGCGGGTAGGCTTGGGTGCCGACCTGGGCGCAGCCTCGGCATCCCCCGCGCCACCCTCCTCGCCTGAGGCTGGCACGGCTGGCGGCTCCTCCTCCTCCTCCTCCTCCTCCTCGTTCTCCCATTTCTTGTAGTTGATGTTCCAGGTGTGGTAGTCGTCCCCGACCACGGTGAAATGCCTCAGGAACTTGCTCATCCTCTCGGCAGGAGTCCTGCGTGTGGCCCTGCGGGGGACGACCTGGTGGGCGGGACAAAGGCAGAGCTCAGGCAGGGCTGAGGGGAGCAGGCCCAGGTGGCCCGGGCCCTCAGAGCACCCTGAGCACAGCTACACGAGGTCTCAGTGGTTTCTGGTGCTTTTATTTTTAGAATCCAGGGGCTCAGTGTTGGTGAGGGTGAGGCAACAGGAAACCCCAGACCCCGCCAGACCTGTCCCTGCGGTCAGGCCGGCAGGAACCAGCGGAATCGGTACTACGGCCCAGTCACAAAATACCCACAGCAGCCCCAGGCCCGGAAGAGCCGCCCTGTAGTTCAGACCTCACGGGAGGTGAGCACAGGGTGTGGGGAGGAGAGGGCGACCAGTAAAACACCCAGAGTCTCACAGAGAAGTCGGGGTACACTCGCCCTCCATGCCACAGATTCGTCCTGGACAGGGACTTCATCCAGTGCTGTTTTAACTACACTGACAGTTGTTTAAAGAGGGAGAACTTCAAAGAAAAGCAGGTATTCCATCCCTTTACTTTACCCATCTTATCCTACCAGAGATCAACATTTTTACCAAGTGATATCACTCATAGGTATGAGTACAAGAATAGGTGATATGACAAGTAGAACAGGGAAAGAGAGTCCAAAGAGACCCATGTCCCTGTGGGAACTTGGAGGTGAGGTGTTAGCAATCCACACCAGTAGGAATAGATTAGAGAAGTTAGGACATCTGACTTCACCATTAGAGGAAAAAAAAAAAAAAAAAAAATCCAGTCCCTACCTCATGCCACACACAGAATAAATTTCAGATGCCTTAACATTAACATGCATATGTTAAAACAAAACTTAAGGCATCAGGACAAATACAGGCAGGTATCTTCATGGCCTCAGGATAGGAAAAGATTGTATACATAACACACAAAATGTAAAATAGATGCATCCAAACCAAAAGCTTTCATATGACATGCATGTGTGTACACACAAACACACATCCCTGCAAAATTAAGACTTCCCACAGACCGAGAGTAAATATTTGCAATATACTTAACACTCGAAGATTTAGAGTTCAGAATATAGGAAGAAATCTTATAAATCAAAAAGAAGAGGACTGGGCAGTGATATTAACAGGCAGATCAGGTAAGAGAAAATGCAAATGGCCCAGCAAGGTTCAACCTCACTAGTACTTAGGATAATGTGAAAGGAAGCAACAGTTACACATATTTTCACTCCTGAGATTAGCAAGCATCTTCAAAATCTCTAATATCCAGTGCTGGGGATGGTGTGAAGCAGCAGGGTCTCTTGAACCCTAAAGTTAGGAATGGACACCAGTAGCTTCATTTGGGGAAGCAACTGGCATTGTCTGGGCAAGTTAAGTTGTAGCTTTAAAAAATTTTTTTTTCAAATATTTATTTAGTTGTAGATGAACACATAGTATCTTTATTTATTTTTATGTGGTGCTGAGGATCAAACTCAGTGCCTCACACATGCGAGGCAAGCGTTTTACCACTGAGCTACAGCCCCAGCCCCTTAAGTTGTATCTTAATCATCTAGTGATTCCATCCCTTCCCAGTGTCCAAAGAGAAACCTGTCCACACGTGCTCAAGTTGGTACCATGTTCAAGAACATTCACTGCAAATATCCATTGCCATAAATCTGGGCAGAAGAAAAATATCTCTTCATTATTCATGTGATGGAATGCTATACAGGAGTCAAAAAAAAAAAAAAAAAAGAACTGAGCGTCCTCAACAGTAGATCCCTCCTTCCCTGGCTCTGGGTGCCACAATCTCCTAGTTCTCCTCATGTCAGTCTCTCTTGCAGGATCCTTGAAAGGAAGACCTTATATTTAAGTACTGGAATTCCCAGGGCCTGGGCTCTGCCCACCTCTCTTTTTGTTTTTAAGTCTCACTCAGCACCACGGCTTGAAAAACCATCTCTACCTGGATGATGCTTGAATTCCACCTCCAGTCCCATCTCCCACCTGAACTCCAGATTCACCAGCCATCGACAGGCAGAGTATCTTCCTTAGTTGCATGACAGCTTAACAGTTAGCATGTCTAAAGCGGAGTTAGTCATTCTTCACCCAAACTGTCCCCATTTTAGTTTATGACATTTCATTTGTCCACTTCCTTAGGCCAAAAATGCAGAGCATCGTTCTTGACTCTTCTCCCACCCAACAGGGTCCTGCTGGCTCTGCCTTTCAACTGTGTTCCAAATAGGACATCCCTGGCCCAAGCCAATTGTTCCCTGTAATCTGCTGCTTGTATTACTGCAGTGGCCTCCTGCAGCCTCCCAACATCCCTTCTCTATAGGAACCAGAGAGAACTTTCTAAGACCTAAATGAGATCATGTCCCACCTCTACCTAACGCCCTCAGGTGATCCTTCACAGCACTGGGTCCCCCTTCCTGGACATCTGCCTGGCTCACACCCTCCCCGAGGGCAGATGTGCTCAGACCTCACCTCTTCTGAGACCCGGTCACTCCCCAGTCCCACCCATCTCCATCCCCTGCTTCACTTCCCCTCCCTACACTCTGCTGTTGGATGTCGCTGTGCACTCATTATCCGCCTTCCCCACTAGACTCCAGGATCCACAGAGAGGGACTTTTTCTTTCTTGTGCAACTGCACACCCAGTGCCAAGGACAATGCTTTGCACTTAACACCCAGAAACACTCATCTGAGGGACAGAGGAATACAGGAACGTGGGTAGACCTTTAACCCTGGCCAGTGTGGAATGAAGATGTGGAATAATATGAAATTTTCAAGTGAAAATTTGGAATTCATGGAAAATATTATGACTACATATTGTTTTGGGAATGTGTAAAAATATGAGCATAATCATGTAAGAGAATGGGATTTCCACTTCTGGCCATGCTTAAGTAATTAGTAGTAGATTATCCCTCCTGCTAGAAACAAATATAAAACTAGATAAGACATGAAATTTAGCTGGGCACAGTGGGGCACACCTGTAATCCCAGAGACTTGGGAGGCTGAGGCAGGAGGACCAGAGTTTGAGGCCAGCTTCAGCAACTTAGTGAGGCCCTGTCTTAAAAAACAATAAGGGATGGGGATGTGGTTCTGTGGTAAAGCACCCCTGGGTTCAATCCCAGTACCAAAAAAATAAATAAAAATAAAAATAACCATTATCTCTGAGAGTAGAGAATCAAATGATTTGAGCCCTCCCATCATCCTGACTTTATATGTAGAGATACCTTCTGGACTGTGGAGGTAAAAATTATATTTCAAGACTTAAGTCTCCCTCCTTCAGGGAGTACCAGAGGAAAGGAAGCTGGGCAGAGAAGGATCACCAAGGACTTCGGCTGAGTCCTAAACTTCACACATATGGAGCAGACTCCAGGAAGCAAGGAAAAAACCTTACTTTCAGGGGTGGAGGGAACTTCTGGGGAGTTGTGAACTTGAACAACTACCATATCCACAGGGCTGGATAGGGGGATTTATGAGTTTCCAATATCCAAAGTAGATTTTATTGAACACCTAAGCATTTGTAGAAATTCCAGAAAAGCAGGCCATAGAAATAGGCCAAATTTAAGCCTTTACAGTAAGAGCTACCTTAGACTCATCCCAACAAAACTTTAAACAAGCTTTGAAAAGATTAAGCTGATCCCCAACTAATTAGTGGAACAAAACTCAATACTCTGTCAGGGAAGACAACAGCATGCACTTGACAACAGAGAATACATATTGTCCAGCACACAACAAAAAAATTATTAGATAAAGAAGCAGAAAAACGTGGTCCATAATCAGTATAAAAATCAATTAATAAAAGACTCAAATGGATATAGATAATGGAACTGGCCAACAAAGACTACCATGACAAATATATTCAAAGATTTCAAGGAAAACATAAGTTTAATGAAGGAACAAAGAATCTCAATAAAGGAAACTATGAAAAAGATTCAAATGGTGACTGTGGAACTAAAAAATACATATATGAAATGAAGAATCAATAGATGGACTAACATCTGATAAGATACTACAGAAGAAAAGATCAGCAAACTTAAGGACAGGGTAATAGAAAATACTAAGTGGAAAGAAAAATGGCTAAAAGCAAAAAAAACCCACAAAAACTCAGGGACACTATCAAGTGATCTAACATGTCGGTGTCTGTTGTAATGAAAGGAGATGGTAGGAAGATTAAGGAAGAAAATTTTTGAATAAATCCTGGCTTTAAATGTCCAGATTAGATTTAAAATACACACACACACATATATATATATAAAAACATATAGATCCATGAAGCTCAATGAACTGCAAGCAGGAAAAACATACAAAAGAATGTACTAGAAGGAGACACCAAATTCATTATCGTGGTTCCTCAGGGAAGGGTAAAGGCTATAGCAGTCAAAATGTGAGAATCAAAAAGTACTCGAACTCTACCTGGAAAATATCCTTTCGAATTATCCAGAGATTTGATTAAAATATGACAAAACATTAACATCTTCCAACTCAGGGTGAAGACCACATAAGTCTTTACCAATATTTCATTCTTTTGTATTTTTAATATTTTTTTTTCAAAGTAAAATGAAAATCTCTCTCCAGCTTGGGTGCACACTCAAGGATTTTTCCATGATAAGTTTCACGAGCTTAGAGAGAAGACCTGGGCTGGTCCACCCAGTTTTTCACAAATGGGGGCATTTCAGAGATGGGGAGCAGGGCTTGCTCATGGCCAGCAAATCGGCAGCATCACACTTGAGAGAGACTGAAACGCAAGCTCTCTGGCCCCGGTCCACCATCCTGTCCTCTGATCTACGGGACCTTATAAGTTTCTAAGCTCTAACTTTGGTCAAAGAATGCCATTTCCTTCACAAACCTGTGAACCCTACATTTTCTAGTTAAGTGCCCTGGGGAAGCCCCGGCACTATAAAGACAGCGAGGCCATAGGTGAGGTGAGCAGGGGGGTGGTTGTTAAAAAAAACTCTGCACCCAGGAATCCAGTCTGGGCTCCAGGCTGCCTCCCTGCCCCATCCCCGACGTTCTTTAGGCACCTTGGGAACCTCAGACATGAGATTTCCCCCGATGCCGAGAGGCCTGAGGACAGCTGATGAGCCCCCCATAAACTCCTTGGGGCTCCTGCAGTCTCTCGCTTTCTGATTCTTTCCCCAGCCACGATCCTGGGGCCGTGTACAGCTCTCTCCTCACCTCCACAGTTTCCTTCCTCCTCTGCCACCACCCACTCTGAGCTCTCACCTCCATTGCCCAGGAAGGCCACACAGCCTCCGACTGATCTGATTCCTCCAGGGCACTCTCCGCCCATCAGCCTGAGTGGGCTCTGTGAACCCTCACCCTTGACCTGCTTCTCCCTGTGGTAGCCTTTTACTCTTACAATGAGAGCGCAAGGCCTCATGTGACATGCGCAGCCCCAAGGGCTTGGCCTTTCTCCTTCCCCACAGCCTGCTCTCTGTGCTCAGACCACACTGGCCACCATCTGTCCCTCCAATGCTCCATGCTGCCCCAGACTGAGCCTTACACAGGCTGTTCACTCAACCTGGCCTGCTCTCCTCCCCACTCCGAGCTTGGCTCACTCTTACTCAGGCTTAACGCCTTGGCTGAAGTACCACTTCTTCCGAGAGGTCCTCCCTGACCTCTGAGATCTAAACAGATCCTCTCCCAGTTTGATAACCTCTCTGCACACTCTTGACTTTTTCTTGAGAGCCCTTATCATGGTTTCCAACAGGAAATTGTTTGGTGTGCCGTTGATGTATTTCTTCTCTCTTAGCATTTAAACTCCATGAAGGTGGGATCTGTGTCACCTGAGTCTCATGTGACATCTGACTCATGGCAGAAGCCTCTGCACACCTGTCAGCCAAGGACGCTGATACCCTGCCTCCCCTGCCAGGTCATAATTTCCCCCCAGAAACACACCACCCGGCAGACGAGGAGGGCTGCCTCAGCCACTTGTCAGCATGGTGGACGCTCAGGGTACTCTACAAAAACCACAATTATTTTTATTTCACAGGAAAGTTTTCTTTCTGAAACCTCGTGACCAGTAAAGAAGCAGCTTTTAGCAATTTGGGATGAAGATATTTGTGGCGCCCAGCAGAGCAGAAAATAATTCTGGTTTTAAGTCAAGACTGTCCTGGCAGAAGCAGAAAAGTTCCAGAAAAGGGCTAAGGCAGAGCTGACCACAGAGCTTCTGTGGGCCCCCGCAGCTTCACCACGCTGGCCCCTGGGCACCCATGGGAAGGGGTGGACCAAGACACAGGAGCCCTTCCCGGTGCCTGGCCGGGGCAGCCCCTAGCGTGCGGGCTCTGACTCTCCTAACAAGGAACGCCCTCCTCTCCACCTTTGCCAGTGTCTGCAGAGCCTGCTCACCCACCTGCTGCCGGGGTGCCCCGTGCCCCCAGATCTCTCAGGTACAGGAACTGCTAATGGAGTTCCTTTGTGCCTTAAGCTTGGTGGAGCTGTTTCTGTCACTTGCAACCCCAAGAACCTACACCATAGAGTCACTGACATGGACACCCCCCGGCTCCCTCTCCCCTGCATGAACCTGGGCTGTCCCTGTGACATCCCAACACTCCTGTCTCCAAGGCCACCCTCCTGTACTGAAGTCCAAGACTCCGGTTCCTACTGGTTTAACCGCAACCACCCACTTGTCCGTCTCTTCTCCTGATCTCTCTCCTGTCTCTGCCTCTCAGGCTCCTGTGCCATGTTCCTGTCCCCGCGCTGGTTGCTCTGGGCTGGGGGACGCTGCCCATTTGATGGTCTTGGCATGCCCGTGTTCTCAGTGTGGTTCACATGGAAATCAAAGCCTGCCGCCTGCTGTCTGAGGTCCTTTGTTTGCCATGACCCAAACTGAACTCATTTCTCCCCTAAATCTGCACACTGTCCCTCCAATGAAGGAGTCCCTTGGCTCCTTCCTCACTAGAGCCTCCTTGGTTCCACTCTCCGGAGGCCACGTGCCTCCCTGCCTCCTCTCCAGCTCAGGCGCCCTCCCGGCAGCAGCCTCTTCCCTGGCAGGGCCAGAGGCCTCCTCCTGCGACCCAGTCAGGCTGCCCCCACTGCAAGACCCTCTCAGGATGAAGCGTGGGTTTTTTTTTCAAGCGTGGCCTCTTGCCAGGCGGGGCCTCCTCCCGGCCTCATCTTCCTGTCTTCTCTGTGGCTGCCACACCCCGGGGCTACTCCAGGCTCCTCGGGTTCTAGGTGCCCCTACTCCCTCTGCTCCTGGGACCCCACCAGCCTGCTCCGTAGTCGGCGCTGCCCTCTGCCAGCTCATCCTCGCATTTTGGGCAGAGGTCCTGCCTCCCTGGAGGCCTTCCAGCGATCCTTCCCCATCTACCTGCACCCAGGCCATCGCCTCTCTGACAGCTGGGCCGTGGTGCTGGGGGTGGGGTAGGGGGTGGGCAGGGACCCTTCTCTCTCCATCACTGGGAGGGCTCCATGGGTATTTAATCCATGGACTCTCAGCACGTGGCCATGACAGGAGCTGCCCCGCCCAGCGTGTTGGCTAGGGCACAGGACAGGTGCTGCTCCAGGACAGCTACAGCCTGAGGGGAGAAAGCAAGAGCAAGACCCAGAAGGGGCCAGAGCAAGGTCCCCAGTGCCCTGAAGCCACTGTCTGCAGGAGGGGAAAGTCCCTATTTCAGGGCCCTCCAACGACTACAGAGAAGGTACTTTTTAAGAAATTCAGTCACCTCGCGATTCCCAGGGCCTACAGCTTTTCGGTCCCCATCTCCCCGGCTCCGGCCCAGAACTATTCTTGGGAACCTGATGTGCCAACCAGCCACCACCTGCACCCCGGCTCCAGCAAGGGCAAGAGCGGCCAGAGCCCCTGCCACCAATGTTTATTCTATCTCATGCGCTGCTCCTGTCCCCTGGCTGTTCTGTTTCAACTCTAACAATGGGTGGAAACCAATGCCACCATTAGGGTCTCGTGGACGGAGGTGAGTCACCCCAAATCACACACTGCCAGAAACCAGGAGAGCCGTGCCTGCCCTGGGCTGTGACCTGGAGACCACGTTCTGGGACACAGGGCCCCAGGAGTCAGGAGCCAGAGAGTACAGATCCCCCAGCTCAGAGGGTGCGGCGGGTTAAACCGTGGTCCCCCAAACTCCTGTGCCCTCAGAATGTGACCTTATTTGGAATGTGGGACTTTACCTGTATAATTAAAGATCTTGATACACTCGTCCTGGAGTGAGGGAGGGGCCTATCTAAATCCAGTGACCAGTGTCCCTAGGAGGAGAGGCGAGGACGTGAACATGGAGGAGACGGGGGTGATGCCTCCACAAGCCAGTGACACCCAGGACTGTCGGCCCCACCCATGCTAGAGAGAGGCCTGGGACAGATCCTCCCCCAGAGCCTATAGGAGATCCTGCCGACACGATTCTGAACTTCTGGCCTCCAGAACCAAATCAGAGGGAATTCCTGTTGTGCTCGGTCCTGAGCCTGTGCCACGCGGGGACAGCTATCGTAGGACACTAACACAGAGTCTGTCTATGGACCACATGCTCTGTCCTTTCATCCTCCCAGGCCACCTCCCACCTGGTCCCCAAGGAGGAATCAAGCTTCTCCAGAGGCCACCAAACCGCTGTGCAGATGCAGCGCATCTCTGCAGCTGGTACCGGCAGCAGGGGCTCCCTCTGTGCCCAGCTTGCAGGCCACCCCCCTGCTCTCACTCGACGCCTCTGATGACCAGTAGAAACAGGTAGAGTGACGGGAACAGCCTATGGGGGGAAAACAGGCGCGGAGAGGAGAGAAGCTGGCCTCAAGTCCCACTGTGTCACACACCAGCAGCTGGCATAAGACAGGGCAGTGGGCACTCCTGGAGCCCCTGAGAGGCATGTTGACAGGTAGGCCCTTTGTAGAAGGGCCACCAGACATTTCCTCCCTCCTCCCTCCCCCTCCCCCTCCTCCTCCTCCTCCTCATCTTCCTCCTTGTCTTCCTTATCTTCCTCCTTCTGCTCCTCCTCTTCCGTCTTCTCCTCTTCTTCTAGGACACACGGTCTTGCAATCTGGCCCAGTCTGGCTCCAAACTCCTGGGCTCAAGTGATCCTCCTGCCTCAGCCTCCCAAGCACCAGGGAATATAGTCAATTGGAAAAAAAAAAGAAAAAAGAAAATTTCCCTTTTGCCCTGCCAGGTATGGGAGTGTAGGAAGGAACTGGTCTCAGACAGGTTTCTACCAAAACTCAACCTAACAACAGACACACGTTCATATGGACACTCCCCACAGCCCCCTAACTCAGCCCCAAACTGGAAACAACCCAAAATTCTGTTGCTAAATACACCACGGTAGACCCGTGCTGCAGAGCAGCGTGTGCAGCCATGCAGAAGGTGGCAAGTGACAGAGCCATGCTGAAAGTCCCCCATCTGCGCTCGCAGGGAGAACTGACAAAAATCAACCTCCCAAACCACATGGTTTCTCCCGGGAGTGGAGGAGAGTGGGGCTGGCATGCAGGGTGAAGAGGAACTTTCCATATTTTTTCCTGTAAGTTTTAACCATAAGAATTGTCATTTGGAGAGGAAGATCCAGCCTTTAAAGAATCAAATAGTGAGCTGGACGAGGTGGGGCACACCTGTAACCCCAGCAACTCAGGAGGCTGGGTCACAAGTTCAAGGCCAGCTCAGCAACTTAGCAAGGCCATAAGTAACTTAGTGAGACCTGTCTCAAAATAAAAAATAAAAAGGGCTGAGGATGAAGCTCAGTGGTTTAAAAAAAGAAAGAAAAAAATTAAGTGGTAAATGAGTATTCAGTGGGGGCAGGGAGAGAATGAATCCCTGAATAAGGAAAACCAAAATAACTAAAGATATAATTCAAAAAAACTTTCTGGAAATAAATGAGGACTTTTTTTTTAAATGCCATTTTTGTAGGTTAAAACTGGTGTAAATTGTGAATTTCATAAAGTTCAACCTAATATATGTTTATATATAGGCATGTGCATTGATTTAGTTTCTTATGCTGAGAACTTGTTTGTGTAGAGTTGTTTAAAACAAAAAATGATAAGTAAATGATAAATCCAGCATATAAACTCTAGTCTACTGGCTTTATTTCAAGACACTCTGCTGAGGGAAAATGTGGCAGAAAAGGATTTAGAAAAAAAAAAGCAATAAGAATGATGGTCACTGTAAGAGGAGGAATCAAGGTCCCGAGCTGTGGTCTTCTGTCCTTAGCAGATGGGGACACTGAGGTCCTGCAACGTGGCCACCCAGGCCATGGGAATTGCCTCTGGTTCTGCCGCCTCCTGGTCCCCTCCCAGGCAGTCTAGGGAACTGCCCCACAGAGCCTGTCACTGTGGCCCTGATCTGCATATCAGCAATAATTGACCCTTGGTCTGCCCTGCCTCTGCCACCTCTTCGCAGGGCCTTTGCACATGCAGGTTCTGCTGTCTGGAATATGTAACCTGCTTCACCTTGTCATCTCGCTTCCTTTCCCTCTTTCAGGTCCCTCTCAAGCATTCCAGCTCATGGGACTGGCCCAGGGCTCCCCAACTGCAGGTTCACATCCACCTATTTGTGTGACTGAGTCTGTCACCCCTGTCCCTGACTGAGCACTGCCCAGCCAGGTGGGCTCCTGCCTTGGGGATACACACGGGATGGAGGGATGAAACCCTGGGCAGATCTTTCACACGGGGAGGCAGGGCAACTTCAAGGGCAGTTCACCTGCCCCCTGGGAGGCTCTGTTCTGAGGAATGCCTATTTTTAAGATCAGGGAAGTCTTTAAATAAGCGTAGAAGGTTTTCCTTTTCTGGGGCGGGGAGGAAGTGTGTCCGAGGTTCATAAAACAACGCCTGTGAGGTGGGAGGGGGCCCTACAGCTGGGAGCACACCTGGTAGCCCAGGTCCCCAGCCTGTGTTTCCTTCCCGAGCTGACAGGCCTGGCTGCAAATCTGGCACAAAGATTGTAAGGCCGCGGGGAGACCATAGCTACAGGAGTGGACGGCACAGGTCACTGGAACCCTCTCCAGAGCACCTACGGTGGTAGGAGCTCTGTGCAGAGTGCTTTATAGCATGGGGCAGGAACCCTGTGGGGGGAGGGGGTCCCAAATCATCTCCATTTACAGATGAGCAAACTGGGAACAGAGAGGTAAGCAACTTGCCCCAGGTCACACAGCCAATGAGAAGCAGAGCTAGGACACCAACCCAGGCTGCCCAGCATATGCCTTCCTCTTGGGTGACCCTTGTGAACACTGCCAGCTCCCAGCTGGTGAAGTCCCATGTTGGGTGGGGAGCTTGGGACAGTCCTCTTCAGTAAGACATTAGACTTCATATCCTGCCTCCTGGCACGCACTGACTCGCACAGTCTGCAGCCAACTCTGCAGTTACTGCGTGTGGGACACCCAGACTTCCCACTTTACCTTGTTCTATACCCTAAGACAGCCCACTAAATGGATTTCAAGACCAGCAATGAGTTTGACGGTCACTGGTCTGAGGGGAGAGGCCCTGCCTATTTCCCTGGAGGAAGGAGAAGATGACAGAGAATTGAGAGAGTCCCAAGGTCCAAAGTCTGAAGCAACAGCCATAAGGGCATACGTTGTGCTGCTGGCTTCATAAACGCAGAGGAAAAACATTTTCCAGAAATTAAGAGTTGTGCTGGGCTCTGTGGTGCAGGCCTGGAATCCCAGCAACTCAGGAGGCTGAGGCAGGAGGATTGCAAGTTTGAGGCCAGCCTCAGCAACTTAGCAAGACCCTGTCTAAAAATTAAAAAAAAAAAAAAAATACACTAAGGTGGCGCTGGGAGTGTAGCTCAGTAGTATAGTGCCCCAGGGTTCAACCTCCAGTACCTAAAGAAATAGATAAGAGTTGTCACCAGCATGGCTCAGTCCCCAGGGACAATGTCTTAGTGATGCTTCAGCCATGGAAATGACAGAGGCAGCAGTTCAGAGTCTCCTTCTCCACATTCCACAGAGGGGACCCTGCCCTGCCCAACCAGTGGCTCTTGGCCTTAGATGCACGTTAGAATCACCTAGAAACTTTAAAAAGTCCTAATGAACCTCCAGATTCAGAGGTTCTGCTTTACTTGGCCTGGTGTGGTGATTGCTAATGTGCAGCCAAGGCAAACAACCTGCACCGGAAAGAGCCCACAGCTGCACCCTCAGCCTGCACCCAAAATGAGCTAAAGGGCTACAAGGGCGTCTCAGCAGCCGGGTGGCACACTCCTGGAATCCCAGTGACTTGGAGGCTAAGGGAGGAGGATCACAAGTTTGAGGTTAGCCTCAGCTCTGCCTCTCACTGGCTGTGTGATGTGGGTCAAGTCACTTGGCCACTCTGTTCTCAGTTTGCTTCTCTGTAAGTAGAGACAACTTGGTGGACAGTCTCAAAAAATGCAAAGAGTTGGGGACAGAGCTCGGGGGCAGAGCACCCTAATTCTCAGGTTCCCCAGATGGGGCGGGCGGATGCCACTGCCTGCATTGCACTGAGGAGTCAGGCTGGCCGATGGGCCCCTTGTACTCACCATGGAGCCTGCGATGTCCACACCCTGCGTGCTGCAGCCAGCCGCCCCCGCCCCCAGTGCTGATGAATCCTCCACCACAGCTCTGCAAGCTATTGTCCCACTTTACAGAAGAGGAAAACTGGGGCTCAGAGAGGGAGGGAGAGGCAGAGAGGGACCCCACAAGAGGACAGTGTCCATGGCCACTGCAAATCAGGTCTGCCTGGGGCTGGAAACCCCACTGCTTTCTCCCACAAAATGGCTGTTTTCTTCTTAAAGACCAGGAGAACCAGTCAATGAAACAGCTCTAGGGGCAAAGCCACGAAGGCTCGGTTCTCAGAACACGAGGAGCCCGACCAGCTCGACCACGAACACAAGCCTGATCTTTGGCCAGGAAGAGGCGGGTTTGTCCCAGGTGGTCCTGACCCCTCTTCCCAGCTCCTGGACGTGCTGTCCAGGGCCAGCCTTGGTGTGGTGACCCCCAGGAGCTCCCCAAGGTGTGTCCCCTGTTGGTTCAGCCTCCCGTTGCCTTGCAGGGGCCATGCCCTGGTGACGGCCTGTGACAAGGTGCCCCCTCCCCTGCACCTGCCCAGCTTCAGTCAGACACCCGCCTCCTCGGGACCCCTGCCCGGCTTTACCTGGCGAACAGACTTTGCCCTACTCCACTCCGTCTAGTGGGGATGGGGCAAAAGCACGGCCACAAAAGGGAACAGCAACAATCCAGACCTCTGTCACCTCCCCACCTCTTCCACCACCTCCTCTCAGATTTGCATCTTTGACAATTATAATCAAGGACCGGAGACCAGGGACAGGCCTTTTCGATGGCCAAGAAAGTTCCTGAGGAGTCAGAGGGTCTTACTGAACCTGACGGCTTCTCATTTTTAGCACCTTTATCAGCAACGCCAAGACCATGTTTTCTCATAGCTCTGGGATCGGGATGTACCTTTGCCTGTTTTGCGTTTTCCCCGCGGTGCTGGGGGTCAAAGCCAGGCCTCGGCACTCCCCCGTGGCCTGCCGGGGACCCCGTTCTTCACAGCACATGCAATAACAGCGCAGGTACAGTCAGCGGCATCTGACACGCTAAGAACATAGCGCCACAAGTGACTTTTTCCTTTTGATGGATTGTTTCCTTTCCCTTAATGAGATGGACACACTTGAACGCCAACATCCTCACCAATCTTGATACACACTGTCACCTCTGCTCAGCACAGCTGCGGGGGCTGAGCAAGTCCCCAGCACAGGTGCCCCGGCGCTGGCCTCGCCGGGGTCAACCCAGCTGCCTGTACCTTTTTGGTTCACTTAACTTAAAGGAGAATTGCAAACAAAAGAAAAGTCACCGCCATTTCCACACCTTTCTTCGACACTTTGTTACCTGGAACTTGGGGACCACCTAACTCTCACAGCCACTTGGCCACCTGCCACGCACATGA